TCTTCTTTACAGGATAAACCCTGGAGAGAGAATGGGGTATGGTTTCCTGAAGTGTGTTTACACTTCCGCAAGGCTGTGCGACTCGTTACAGTAGGATCCCATCCATTGTCTCCGAGAGTAACAAAGTACATTACGCCATGTTACGGAATGTCGGGCTGGAAAGGGCCTGGGCAGAGCCCAGCAGGTGGTGTGGCTGGCCCTTTTCCACACGTTGCTCAGCTCTGGGCCAGACCCGAAGAGGCTGGGAGGCTTTTACACAGGCCCCACTTTGTCGCTGTGTGTGGTTCGGCCCCCTCCCAGGCAGGCTGATTTGTGAATGCGCTGAACTCCAGTGCGCTAGGCGGCCTAACCACAGAGCTGTGTTTTGTTTCTCTACCGGATACACCTGCCCAACAAACCAGAGTTCACTCACGCTGCAGGCCCCGGGCGTTTTACTTTTGAGAGATCGCAACCTCCAGATAAACCAGAGGGTACAACTGTGCGCATTGAAAACCTGAGAAAGCTGAAAAGTAATAAAATGATTTTTTTTCCTTTGGGGGGCAAGGGGCAATTCTAAAGAGCTGGTTATTCTCCACATCCCAATGAGCATTCTCCACTTTCATACCCGTCATTACTTGCTGAAGCAAACCGCCACTTCAGCGACCTGTGGACGCAGCACTACAGAGCAGTGAGTCGCAGATTAAGTCGGTCCCTCTTTAAATTTTTTCAATCTTTCTGGTTTTGTCAAGAAAAACAATCTTCACTTGAAGGTAGTACTTCTTTAACATCTAACACTTGCTAATCTCCCTTAAAAAACACTGCAAAATGAGTGCAGACCTCAGATTTGATGTTTTTAGTTATAGTATCTATTTCAATGTTGTAATATTGTCTAGATAAAAATTTGATAATATTGTTTTTATTGTGATTATCCTTAGAATTATTTTTAACTTATGGCTAGAGATGGCAATTTACTACTTTAGTGATATTATGTTTCTTTTTTAAAATAAATATATTTAAGTGTTTAAAATCAGCTAGTTTAGAAAAAATACTAGGTAAATAATTGTGCAGGTGCCACTCATAAATAATAGATGTCGTGAGGATAGTCTGTGGTGGTATGTGGATAAGGTAGAAACTGGGAAGGGATTACACAAATACATGACTTATGAGCAATAGGGCGAAGCAGGACGAACTTGCATTTGAATCACTGCCTATCACCTACTAGATGTGTGACCTTGAGCAAGTTATTCAACCTCATTCCACACCTATAAAATCAAAACAACATTTCACTACCCACCTTGGAATTCTTGTGAAGATTACATGTAAGGCTATAATGTAAGGCCCTGGGACATAGTCAATGCTCAATAAGGTTATTATTGTTGTTGCCGGGAATCTATTTCTACTTTTCAGAGCTATGCTTGTGCAAGTACAGTGCCTGGCACACAGCACACGGTCAATTGCAATGCTCCTGTCATCACCACTGTTACTAGCCCCCTGTGTTTGTTCGTGTCTGCTTTAAAGTGGGTATCAAGTCGGGATTGGCCACGCAAGGGGGTTTTGAAGGGGGAAGCCTGTGCAGGAGTGAGGAGGAGAGAGCAGGAGAAGGAGGGAGAGGAGTGCCTTGGCCTGTGAAAGGGGGAGGACAGGCCGGAGGAGTCTGTGACCACAGTCCAGGTACAAGAAAGGTTTGGCCAGATGGTGAGCCTATGGCTGGAGCCTTTGTCAGCCGCTGGAGAAGTCCCCCTTCTGTGCTCGGTCATTGGCTGGGAGAAACTCTCGGGAAGTGTGGCCTTGAACATGGCAGTGGATCCCGAAGGCAGCACTGAGGGCGACGGCTAATTATGCTCCCCACCCACAGCAGGCACTCTGAGTAGCACACAGGGTGGGGCAAAAGGAAGTTTCCAGTTGTGAGTGTGTGGGTTTATTCTTGTATTACTCTGTATTAATTATTGTATCATTTTCCATACCAACAACTGTAAATCTCTTTTGCCCCACCCTGTAACTGTGGCTGCCGCACACATAATCTCCATCTCACCCAAGGAAAACGGATGCTGAGTGTTTCCTCTGAACCATTTATCCAGTTGACCGCCAATCACTGCAAGCCAGGCAGGGACTGAAAGGATTTCACACCTGGAAGTGAAGTAGGATGTTTGATGGATGAAAGAAACTCATGGCCAGCTCATGATTTTCTTGTCTCAATGCCCAACCAGCACGCCAAACATATTGTTTACTTTAAGAGTTTATCTTGATCACAGCTGTTTATTAGCCCTATTTGTCTTTAGCTCTAACTTTAGATTTCAGAAGTTGTGTGTTGAAGGCAGAGATAAGCACACTGACATATTTATGCAAATCACGGGCCCCAGATGGCAGGCCACAGGTATGCTTGGCCCATGGAGTGTTGAAAAAATTATTTTTAGCTAACATTTAAAAATTGTGAGATTCATATGTATACACACACACAAATTTAAATGTTGATTTCTGGCTTCTCTTGAAAACCAAAGATCCGGAACATTGAACATAAATTTCTGCCTGACAGTAGTATGTGGATAAAAGTGGCTGCCCCTCAAGGTAGGGCTGTTCTGTCTACTTTATGCTCTACCACCCACACAAAATATGCGTATATCCTTGTACCCAGCAGGCTTCACCGGTTTATATTCCTGTCTCGTCCTTTGTGCAGAGAGTGCTAACTGTCCCTCAATATTACATTGTTCCCTTCTTCTATAGTTACGTTCCAGCAGGACTCATGACTACATTTCCCAGTCTCCCTTGCAGCTAGGTGTCATCATGTGACTAAGTTCTGGCCAATGGTGTGAAAGTGGAGCTGAAGTTTGGAACTTCCAAACTGTGCTTCTAAAGTATAGCAGGGTGCCCTCTCTCCTTTTCTTCTTGCTGGCTGAGCCAGGGACACGATGCAGGGAGCTGGAGCAGCCTCTGACATCACCAGGTGGAAGCTGTGTGGTGAGAACAGCAGAGCGAAAAAGGAGGAAAGCGGGTCTCCCACAAGGAGCCCCGTACCAGCTCTGGAAAGCTTATTGCTCAGACTGTTACACCTGAAATAAAAACAACATCCACTTTTGTTTCTCTTTTGCACAGCAGCCTCCACTCAAAATACCACAGCAGCTTCAACTGTATCTTAACTAATATATCCCTACTTAGCAGTTTTTCCTTGTAAAGAGGACCCATGAGGAAACCATCAAGTCTGGTAAACAACCCTCTTTCTGGTAAACTCGTCATCGGAAAACCCTGCCCGTGTCTTCTGGGCTCTGTTCGCAGGTGGGACCATTTTCCGGCTGTGGATGAGTTTGTACCTGTGGCTCCTTAGGGGCCGAAGTTCCCCACAGCCACCGTGTCTCAGGTTCACAGGCCACCAGTCCCATTTGCATGGGCCACTCCCCAGAAGACAGCGCCTCCTGCCTTTTCTCAGCAGCGCCCTCTGAGTGGAAGAGAAGTAGGAAGTTCTCGGTGGGTGCTGTTCGGGCTCTCGAGGCGCCAACAGAGGCTCCTTGGTGCTAGGTGTGAAACCACACAGGATCCTCACAGTTGCGAACTGAGCAGACCCTGCCGCATTCTGTGGGGGTCAAAACCAGTGACAGAAATGACTCTGACGAAGAAGCTGTTACTACCTCCCAGGGGGCAGGCACCAAAAACAACCTGTGATCGTGTTCCTTGGAATGATGAATGATAGCACTGAATGAAATTCAGGTCACAGCGATGATGCCGAACTCTTTAGTGTAGCCTGCGAGGGAGAGTCCTCCAAGCCAGGACTACTTTGGGAGAACAGAAAGGGGAAGAAAAGAGCTACTGTTTAATGAGCACTTAATGTACCATAAATGTTGTGTACATTTTCTCATTTAGTCATCTCAAAAACCCCATGAGGAAGTCTTATAACTATTTTTTCTTGAAGCCGAAACGCTAAAGAAAGTAACTTGTCAAAGATTGCACAGCTGGGAAGTAAAAAGCCAGGATGTTGATGTTCTGGTGACTCAGGTCCCTTCCATATCTCGCCGTCTCGTGGACCCTTTGAGGCTGGCCTTACCAGGTGGGGGAGGCAAGCGAGACCCTGGACACAACTGTGGGGCAGAAGTCTCTGGGTGACGGGTCGTTTGTAATGGATGCAGGAAAGCAGGGAAGGGAAGGGGCAGAGAGGCACGTTGAAAAGACTGGCTACCTGCATCGGATCATCCCAATTCCCCACAACATGGAGAAGGTTATCCGAATAAGCACAACTCGCTGGTCCCTGAGGGAGAAGGGGCTGTGGAAGGGGCTGGTAGCAGATGTGCCTTGGAGAGCTAGCCTGGCAGTGAGATGAGATAACTCCGAAAACTGAGTTTTACTCTGCTCCATACATTGAAGGATATTGCTGAGTAACCGGTTGGCAGGACGTGAAATAGAGAAGGAATTATAATGTAATGGGCAGAGAGAGGACTTAATGTGGCTGCTTGTTTAAATACACGCGCTTTTCCCTTCGCTGGAAAATCCTTTGGCCACGTGTCCGCAGGTTGTCCTTCGATACGGGTGCCCTCTATGTCCATGCACACTCTGCAAGATCAGAAGGGAAACCGGCTGCCAAAGCACCGCTCTGGGGCGCCAAATGCCATCAAGCATCAGACAAAATCGTGTCAACGTTCCTTTTGTTACTCTCTCTTACCTTCTGCCTCTGCAGAGAGGCAGTTCATCTTTATTGCCGTTTACTGGTAAAATCTTTTCTGACAGCAGCAGCGAAACCCCATTCCCAGGCAAAGACCAGCTTTTTAGACAAGAGAAATGTGAGCTCTGTTTGGCGCAAAGTGGCTGCTAAGAGATCTTTTAATATATTTCTTCCTCTCAGCCATGGATGGGTGCCTGACAGCTCCGACTTCCTCAACATTAGGCCAATTTGTGAGATAAAACCTTCAGAAATGGAGAAGTTGTCTAAGATGGAGCCGTTCACACTTTGGTGGTGGCGGCGGCGGCGGTGGCAGCGACAAGCTAAGGTCCCGTATGTCATATTCCAGCTGTAACAAGAATGCTGTCTTCTCTCCTAGGTCAGTCAAGCTTTTTCTACGGAAGGGGTCTCAGGTGATGGAATAACATTCTCCAGACGAGAGCGGGAAAGGATAGAAAATAGAGACATGGAGGAGGCGAAGAGAATGATGCCCCTAAAGCTGTCTGTAGTTTGACGACGCTTCTGTTTACGTGGGTGTCGGGGCCCGGTGCGGCTGGAGGTGAGAGGCACAGGGAGCTACAGGGGGGTGGCAGTGGCCCCGAGAAGGACAGGGACGTCTGGCTTTCGGAAAGCTTCTCAAAAGGCTTCATCATGCTTAAGCTTTCCAGAGCTTGTCTGTGGCCCCATGATGTTGGGGACCCAGTTCCTCTCTGTCCTTCTTCTCTGCTATTTTCAACAGGTACCTTCCCTCTAGGGAGGTCAGATGATACCGAGGTAGTAATCAGAGCTTGCTTCCCTCATCGTTCTTGACGAATGTTGCTTGTAAGTTGGCTTTTACAATGAGAACATGGATGCCCGCTAGATTTGGGGTAAGAAGACAAAGACATGTGATGAGGTACTGCTGCAGTCAGTGGCTTAAAATTCACTGCAATGCCAAGTCCCCGGAGGTAAGTCTCTCGCCTGCCTGGCATTGATAAAGTCAGGAACGCAGCCCTCAGCGCCATCGCCGACGGTTCTCCCTTGCTGTGACCTGGCCCGGTGGGGAGGAAGCGAAACTCATCCGGGCAAGGACATGTCCTGTCTGCCCTGTCCACTCTTCCTGTGGGGCCCTGGCTTGGAAGCAACGGGTCACACACGTGGGCTGGAACGGTCGGGAAAGAGGAAATAACGAGTGAAGTGGGATGTCAAGGTCAGGGACAGTTCAAAATTTAACAGTTTCCTTTTGCTTTAAGAATTGCTCTTTCACCTCACATTTTTAAAAGTGAAGTTTCCGAGTGGAAAAGGCAATATTTGTCAAATACTACAATTTATTTTAAGCTGACTGGGTTCAGAATGTGAAGGCCCTTTTTAGTCTCGCAGTAATTAAAAATAATAATAGTAGTAGCATGTTTAGTGCTAACTTACAGGTTCCTCACTTAATGCCACCTACCCCTCTGAGAGGGGCTGGGGAGTGAAACTCAGAGAGGGTAGTGGCTGGCCAAGGTCACGCAGTTGGTGAGTGGCCGAGTGTGGGGTTTCTCTCTCCGCCACATGTGGTGCCATAACCCTCAGGGGTGAGCAGTCATTTCAGATAAACGTCAGGCCTTCTATTCCCGCAGTCCCCTGGGCTGAGCGATAGGGCCACCTCACTGAGCTCCCCACCGGTGTGTTGAGAGACTCCCCAGAAACCCCACTCTTCCTCTCTCCTTCTGCATCCCAAACCACGAGCAGCTGGATTTCTTTATGGTCATTTTAGAAGTGGTAAAAATTCTCAAAGGGAATTTTATTCCCAGTGTGGAGTTGGCAGCCTTTATTCATAAGGGCACATTCAAGAATGTTCTGTTTTGGTGAGAGGGGGACATTTGTAGAAATTGAAGACAAAGAAGAAAAGGGAGGAAGTGAGAGGGAGCTGAAGGGAGGATGTTCCTGTCACCCGGGGAGTCTTGCTTGTCTTCTTGAGCTTTAGGGGCCTCTGCCTTCCTTCTTGGGAGACGCTGGGCACCACACCCCCTTTATGTCAGTGAGACCTTGTTTCAAATCTCAGTTCTGGTGAAAACTCTTGAAACGATTTCATTTCTCTGAGCCTCAGTTTCCTCATCTATAAAATGGGGATAATATTACCCCCTTCTTTATTGGGTTGTTGAGGGGCCTGGATGAAATAATGCAGTGTTCCTCCAAGCAAGATACACACACCACTTGTGATAGCAAGACCGTCTTCTAGTGATACAGACTGTTTTTAGTGTAATAATTATGGCACACACACACACATATATATATAACTAGAACACCAAACCTGTCGTTTCACAGGTCTTATTGCTTAGGGCGAGTCAAAGTAAAGAAATTAAATCAGATTTAAAGGCCTTTTTAATAAACTGTTAAGCATGTGACACAGGCATGACACATCGTGGACCAGAAGGAGACGAGGACTGTCATCAGGGAACCCTGATGCTGCTCGGGGACTAGACTCCTTCCCCACTTCTGCGGTTGAGGAGGGTGACTTGGGACAAAGAAAGGCAGAGCGACCCAGGTTGGAAGCAAAGGCGGGTTTACGGTGGGGACTGGAGTTAGCCAGCCTCCCTGTGAACCATCGCAGGGATTTTTGTCTCCCGTTGCTGCCCTCTTGTGGTCATGAGAGGTCGCAGGGCCCTGAAGACACCTCTAGGATTTAGCAGCCAGCATCTATGCACCTCCCCTCTGGCCCCGTTCCCACCCCCATCAGTCCCACCTGGCCGCGGCTCATGCTCCCCAAAGTGTCACTTCCTCCTCCAGCCTAGTCTCACAGCTCCCCTTCCCCAGACTCCTGGTGTGTCAGTAGAGCATGCTCTGATTCTCAGGTGTGGACCAGCCAAGAACGCTCTCCCAGGAGACGCTGGTTTTCAAAGAGGAACTGTTTAAATACCCAAAGGAAGTCAAAGGAGCAGGAAATGAAGTAGCCATATTTTTGCGACAGGAATCTTCCTTTGGCGCCCACCTTTTTCTTTAGGCATCTAGGTTCCCGGAGTGAAATCATATTTCTTTTCAGGAAAATTCTGCAAGAAACTTTCATAATACTGTACTTACATTTCTGGTGGAAGTCAGAGTTACATTATTTTGCTTGAGGCTGAAAACCCCAAACTACAGTGGTTTAAGAAAAATAAACGTTTATCTCTCATGTTAAGAGGGGCTCCCCAGAGCTGTATGGGGGCTCCCTCATCCCCAGGTCCTCTGTTCTACTCTGGAGATCAAATTCGCTAACCTCATTTTAGAGAAGCTGAGTCCCTGGGAGGTTAGGCTTCTCCAGCCCATGACATTGGCTGGCGGCAGAGGCAAAAGTAGGACCTCGGTGTGCTGGCCGCTGGTCTAAAGCTCTATCCCCTTGCACCAGTGGCATTTGCACAGTGGCAGAGAGAAAGTGAGCCTGATCTGAGCCCTGAAAGCAACTCAGGTCTGAATATTTCTCACAATGCCAGCAATAGGCTTGTAGAAGAGATGCACTAATGCCGTCTCCAAAAAGTCTCTAACTTCCCTTTATGTAACACTGTCTTGGCACCTAAAATCAAGCAGTTAAACAGAAAATGAATACATTGTCTTTCTTTTCCATTGTGACAATTAAATGCTGTGGATAATTAAGAATAAATGACCAACTGCTGGCCACCAGTGTCTTTTTAATTTATTCTTAGAAAATATACACTGACGTGTTTAGGAGTTAGGTTACAATATATGCTGTCATAGGTAGGCACATGATAACCAAATACATAGATAAATAGATAGATAACAGAGGTAGACAAGTAAACAAATGGCAAATAACTATACAAGGTCTGTCCAGAAGGTATTCAGTCATGTATTATGAAAAGCAGAGAACTTTTTTATAGTTATAGCATCTTATGATTTATAAAATTTTTATTTATTTATCTTTAGAAGGGAAGGGAAGGAGAGAAGGAGAGAAATATCAATGTATGGTTGCTTCTGGTGCATCCCCTGCTGGGAACTGGCCCGAAACCCAGGCATGTGCCTTGATGGGGAATCGAACTGCGATCTTTTGGTTTGCAGGCCCATGCTCAATCCACTGAGCTACACCAGCCAGGGCTGCAAAAGTAGGGACATTTATTGAAGAAGATACAAGATGCAAGAAACATCATGCATAGGACAGTGACACCTCAGTCCCCTTCAAAGTAGGCATCTTGGGACCTCACACAGTTCTTCCAATCACCCTCAACTGCCCTGTCGTATTTTTGTGAATCTCATTGACAGTCTGAAATCTCTTCCCTTTTAAAGGTGATTTTAGTTTTGGGAAAAGGCAGAAGTTGCAGGACACCAAATCTGGGCAGTATGGGAGCTGAGTCACTGAATGATTTGATGTGTCACCAAAAAACTCTGCACAAGACGTAATGTGTGAGCAGGTACATTATTGTGATGAAGCTGCCAATCACCAGTTGTCCATGGTAGGGGCCTTCTGAATCATCTGAATAATTCCCTGGAGGAATGTTCAAGCTTAACACAAAATCTGATGCAGATTTGTTGCTCTACTCACTCAGTCATTTTTAACTTGGCCACACAGGGCACATGCTCACTCAACAGCATCTACCACCCCCACTGACTGGTACAGTGAAGTCGTCACTGTTCACACCTGTACACTCCAGTCCACTCTCCTTGGCTGCCTGGTTACATGTCACACAAACCATTCTCATTATATTAACAATGGCTGGACTTTTTCTGGACAGACCTCCGTAAGAAAATGCAGGGTAAGAGAAAAGGGTAATTTTTTATATACTCTTTATTCTTGCATCTTCTCTGTAAAGTTTGAAATTTAAAAAAAATTTTATTTATGTATTTTAAGAGAGAGGGGAAGGGAAGGAGACTGAGTGGGAAAGAAACATCAATGTGTGTTTGCCTCTCATGTGTCCCCTACTGGGGACCTGGCCTGCAACCCAGGCATGTACCCTGACTGGGAATCGAACTGGCCACCCTTTGCTTCACAGGCCCGTGCTCAATCCACTGAGCTACACCAGCCAGGGCTGAAACTTTTCCAAATAAGAAAATAATACAAGTTTTAAAAGGCTCACACATGCTGCAGTGACGCAGGGGTTATGGAGGGGAGAGCACAGAGCAGAACAGGTGGTCGCGGTCAGGTTGTCGTTGTAACAATCATAGGTAAGAGAAGAGGGTGGCGTAGTGTCTACAGGAGAAGAGACAGGAAGGGCTCAGTTTCTGGATGTGCCTTGAAGGCAGAACTAACAGAATTTGCTGACGAATTCCATGTGAAGCTGGGAGAAGGAAAGGAGGCAAGGGAGGGACATCAGGTTACTAAGCTGATCCACTGGGGCGATGGAGGGGTCAGTAACTGCAACAGGGAAGACGGTGGGAGGAGCCAGTTAGAAGTGGCAGATTGAGAGCCAGGTTTTGAACATGTACCTCGTGGTTGTATGGAGTATACTACCTAATTTTTTTTTTAAAAGATTTTATTTATTTATCTTTAGAGGGGAAGGGGGAAGGAGAGAGGGAGAGAAACATCAATGTATGGTTGCCTTTCATGCGTCCCCTGCTGGGAATTGGCCTGCAGGGAACCGGCCTGCAACCCAGGCATGTGCCCTGACTGGGAATCGAACTGCGATCGTGTGTTTCGCAGGCCCGCGCTCAATCCACTGAGCTACAGCAGCCAGGGCATACCTACCTAATTTTAATGGAGCAAAAGTTTATAAAATGGATAACTAGCTCTAAAAGCTATCTCTAAAGTAACTGTGAATCAAAAGTAATCTTAACAATGCAAGCGCAAGTAAATTTCCAAAACAACTTTGCATTTTTGGCCGGCAGGAGTCTAAATGGGGCCAGCAACACTCTTCTTCCGTTTGGATACGCGTGTATTTGTGAGGAGTCTCTTCCTGTGATGTCAGCCCTCAAAACCACCCATGGAACTAAGCTGAACTTAGAGTCAGATTCCAGAATAACTGTGATACAAGAGGTTACACCAATGTTTTTGCATCGAATAACTCATGTTCAGTCACATTGCTCTCATCAAGAAGAGTATAATGATTTTATTATTATTTATTTTTATATGATTAATTATTTTATATTATATGTTGATTGTGGGCATTCTGCTAAGTGAGCTAAGCCAGACAGAGAAAGACAAGTACTGTGTGGCATCACTTGAATGTGGAGGAAATGGGGAGAGATTGGTAAAAGGATAAAAACTTTCAGGGAAACAAAAAGAGGGAAAAGTTGGGAGACCTCTGTAGATCATAATACTGATTAATTGCAGCCAGGTAAGGCTGTTGTTACCTTTGCCACCACCTGCTCCCTCTGTCAGCAAAGGTGCGGGGTGGACTCAGACCCACTGCTGGGACCCCAGCTCACTGCGCATGTGCTGAGGGCATTCAGAAGTCCTGTTTAGGCAATAAGCACACTATTTAATGGAATACTGTACAATTTCTAAAAATAATACATCAATTCGGATGGATGTAGAAAGCTGTTCAAGATTCAGTGAGAAAGAGCAACAGGAGTAGAACAATTATAGTGTCAAATAAACGATATATGTGTTTCCATACTCATACAAAACTTCCAGTAGCGGCGGTTACCTGTAGGAAATGACACTAGGTAGAAAAGAGAGAAATTTACTTTTTTAAAATGGCATTTAGTGGGGTGACATTAGTTAATATAATTGTATAAGTTTCAGGGGTACAATTCTGTGATACATCATCTGTCTTTTGTATTGTGTGTTCACCACCTCAAGTCAAGTCTCTTTCCATCACCACCTTTCTCTTTGGTGATCACCATGCTGTGTTGTCTGTCTATTATATGTGTGTGTGTAATATACACATATACATATATATACATATATATGTGTGTGTATATATGTATATATACACACACACATTTCCCTTAATCTCTTCACCTTTTGTACCAAATTCTTAAAAATCATAAACATATATTAGCTCAGTTTTTAATGATTTTAAAATATTCAGGCTTTTCAAAACTCATTTTATGAATTTATCCTGAAGGCATAGAGATAAGTGAATATTTCATACTAAAATGATCGTGACATCTATTAAAATGCATAAGATTAGAAATAACCTAAATGTCTAGCCTTAAGTGACATTGGTTAAATAAATAAAGGAAAATGGACTGTAATACAAGGTAGTCATTTTTTTAAAAATCAGGTTTTTGAAAATTTGAGCCAGATGGGAAATGCTGACAATATGCTACATGGAAAAACCTAACTATATAAATTCAGCATTAATATCAGTAATATTAAAAATGCATAGAAAAAAAAGCTTGGAAGAAATACCCTCAAATGACAGCAGTGGCTGCCTCTGATAGTGAGGTTACAGGGATTTTGATTTTTCTAAACTTTTTTTCCCTATTCTTTTCAATTTCTCTTTTCTTCAATCAACATGCATTATTTTGTAATGTGAAAGAAAAAGAAAGTAGGAAGTAAAAGACGACGAAAATCATGACATGCATTCCTGGCGTGAGTCAGGAGCTGAATTTTCATGTTTAAATCAGTTTCAGAAACACAGGAGTGGTTTCTAGGCAACCTGCTTGGGAAATCATGTTCATTTCCATTGTTGCTGGGAGTGTGTGTGAGCATCTCAAAGGAAATGTAACAGGAACTCTTGTGAAAGTCGGCTCCTGCTCAGGAAAAACAAGCTTTGCCACCCAGTTTGGGGCATGGAGAGATGAGTTATTATGACCTCAGAGACACAGTGGGAGCCTGAGGGGGTTATTTATTTATTTACCTATTAGCCAATGAGTAATTGATTTTAATGAGGATTGCTGTAAGTAGGTAAAGTCTGATAGATATTCAAGTCTCTGCTTCTGGTTGTGGGAAATGGGCGTGGGGAACAGGAGCCCCAATCAATAACCCCAGGTGGATGTCCCTGCTGAGATGTCAGGGCTGAAACTCAGAGGCAAAGCTCTGCAAGATGGATGACAGCTCAAGATGTGAAAAGATTGTCTTATCATCCTGTGGGCCATTTGCCATCATTATAGATAATCCTGCCGAGCCACAGGGCTTTAAATCAGGAGGTAACACTGAGAAATGGAATCAGAGCTAAGATACCCTTGGCCCAGCTGGATGGGCTGGGAGGATGGACTGGGAGGATGGGCTGAGCAAAGAATGCTTTTTAGCCTCTGGGAACCATGCTATTTAGGAAGAGGTTACAGAAGGTGCAGAAAGTATTGTTCTCGGAACACATGTACGTTTTGGTGACTTTGCTACTTTTCCAGCAAGAACAAAAAGCATTCTGCCTGATTAATGGGGTCAGAGCCCAGCTCTCATTCCTAGGTTGCCTAGTCGTTCTCTTTTGCAGTTAAAAAAAATTAAGGGGGTAAACAGCAGGCATTTGGAGTCATGCTAGCAGGTTACCGCCTTTGCCCTTGATTCCCCCCAGGCCTTGTCACAGCTCCAGGGAGAGGCTGCATATCCGGAGCTCTGGCCTCCGGAACCACAGACCCACTTCCTGACAGAAGGGGGCGCATCAGGGCAGGAATCATTGGAAGGGGAGGGTGAAGAAGAGCTACGTCTGTCTCTAAGTTTCTGACCCGATGTCCTGCATGACACTTATTAATGGTCCCCTGGGTCTGGCCACCCTTTTTTACTACCCATGTGCTCTTTTCCCAAGGTTGGTGAAGGAACGTGGAAGGACATAAAGCAGGGAGGAAGAAGTGACGTGGTCAGATTTCTTAAGATCTGTGTAAGGACTCTGTGAAAGATGGCCTAGAGGAGGAAGAGGCTGACGTAGAGGGACTGGCCCTGAGGCGATCTGCAGCAGTCCGGGTCACACTACCTTGCTGGGTGTCAGGAGAGATGAGACAGGCTGTTGGGAAGGCAGAGCCAGTTGAGCCCGGCCGAGATGAGATGTGGTGATGTGTGAGGGGGGTCTGGGACAGCTCCCAGTTTCCCCATGGGAGATGGGAATGGCGGCCCCATTCAGCAAGCTCAGGAACGAAGAGGGTGCGTGGGGGAGGTCTGTGGGGAGGGTGAGTTAAATTCTGGCCATGTCTAAAGGCCGTGGAGGCCATCCTGGTAGAGCTCTCTGTGTGGTGAGCGCTTGGTGTATGGGAGTCTGCTGGTTTCTGAGGGAAGAAGGCCGGATCAGGCTTCTCTTTGTGTACACGTTCAATAAACATTGTTTTGAGTAGCTAATTAATAATTACAAGGCACTGGGAAAACAGAACGATGTTGCAATGTAAATGTGGATGCTCTCACAGTAATGGACTGATAGTTGCAGAAAAGCTCCGGCTAAATAACACTAATTTATTCCAGCTATAAATAACCCTTCCTCGGCAGTCGGGTTTCCATTACACAGTGAAAAGAAATGCAGCCGTGGAAGTGAGGAGAGGGGCACGGGAGGGCATGTCATGGCTACAAGGTGAAAATGTTAGCAAGTTCCAGCCCAAATGGAGAAGGCAGTGATCTGACCCGGTGGAGAAGAGGTGACAGTCTAACGTCCCGGGTCCAATTCTATAAACTGCTTAGCTAACTAGTTGGGTTTATTACTATTTTTAGAGATATAGTAACAGATTTAAGCTCTGTATGTGCATTACCTTGTTTAATCCTCAGAGCAACCTCATGGTAAGTCCTTTATGATGCCTCCTTTGATGATGAGTAACTGAACATGGAGACTTTAAGTGACTTACCCAAGGCCACTCAGCTCAAAAGTGGCAGTTCCAAGATTTGAACTGGGACAGTCTGGGCCCAGAATCTTTTTAGAGGCAATTAATTACTGTGCTTTCGTGCCTCTCCAAGTAAAAAAAAGTTAGGCATGGAAACATGGAACAGACTGACAGTGACCAGAGGGGAGGGGAGAGGAATGGTGGAAAGAAGGGGAAGGGACTAGACAAAGAATATGTATGAATGACCCATGAACATGGACACAGTGTGGGAATGGACTGTGGGAGCGGGGTGTGGGATGGGTGGAAGAGGGCAAAGGGGGAAAAGTGAGACACCTGTAATAGAATAACAATTGAAAGAATGATTTCAAAAGGTTAGGAAATATTACTTTGCATGGCCTTCAATTTCTTACCAGTGCATGGATTATAAAAGGGCAGGCGACATAAATTATATTAAGGCCTAAATTGTGGCTGTATGTTTGTATTGCATTCTCCCCTAACAGAGCCTTCAAGGAGGCAGTGTTTAAAGATTTGTCTCAGTCATTTTGGGGAGAGCTCTAAGAGTTTGTGATTGTGTGGCTTTGTGTTTGCAGGCCGAAGCAGACTGCTGGAGCAGCATTATCACTCAGCGTTAGGGGCCTGTTTATTGGATTCAGCATAATAATAATGATCATGGACTTGTGAGTAAGAGAAGCCTTGGTTCCCCCCAGCTCTGCCACGTGGACATGTTACTAAACCTCCCAAGCCTCTTTCTGCATCTGTGCATGGGATCGTACGCGTACCGTTTTAGAGCTGTAAGGATTACAGCGGCACTGGCTCACAGTCCAGGCTAAGAGAGGCATTAGGCGCACTAAGACGCAGATGGACAAGTGAACCCTGGCGGATGCGCTTTCTAGGAAGAAGGAACCGCAGGAGTCTTGCTTGGGTAGGGAACTTGGAGTGTGGGATATACTAAAAGGTCAACAAGGGTCTCACAAATTTATTAAGATATTAGCATTCTTTTAAATATTTAACAGTCAGCGTCTCGCTCTTTACATAGTACGTATATACCTAATAAAGCAAAATTTATGATTTTAAGCAAATAACTTTCTCTAAACATTTAAGCATTGATTGCAAGCCTAATTTAAGTTCTTCTACTCATTTAATTAAAATCACAACATGAACACATCAGATTTCCTTAAATACATATATCATCTTTAAAAAGCTGGCAAAACATACACTAATTATCATAATGATTACAGAAATTATTATGAAAATTTTTATTTTAAAATTTCTACTGTCATAGATTTAAGGTTGTTTGTTCATCATACCCATTGTTATCCATATTTTAATTCTTACTCTTATTTTAGGTCTCCCTGAGTTTCCCATTTCTACACTTTTGGCTGCAATAATCATACAGATCATTCTTCCTCCAAAAAAAAAGTTTCGAGTTAGCCAAAGTCGCAGATTCTGAGCTATCAAGTCATTGACTCTTAGTGAGGATACTGGGCCCAGCAATTCACACCTGCACAATTAGTCTTCAGGCTGAGCCCTTTTACAAGTAAGCAAGCCTTATTTCTGGTGTCACAGAATTTTTAAGTCCCTTTTAAGCTGAAATACATATGTGTATTTGGGAATCAGAAGCATGTATTCTCTAAGTTTTTCACAGTATGTATCCCCCATCCCAGGATCCAGCCATGATTACACCGACCTGGCCTGCTGGTGGAGCATTGCTTAGGCTTTATGAGAACCTCATCATAGCCGTAGAGCCTTCTAGAGCCTCGCTCCTCAGAGTGTGGTCTGTGGACCAGCAGAGTCAGCATCGTGTGGGATGCAGAATCGCAGCCTCACTTCGGACAAGTTGACTCAGAACTTGCATTTTCACAAGATATTCCCTCCCCCACCCCCCACCTGTGATTTGACTGCACTTGAAAGCTCACAAGCACTGATGTACAGACTTCATCTGCCTGCAGAAGAGGGACCAGGCCTGCAGTGGGCACTGCTCTTCCAGATGTGCGATTTATGTGTCAGAACCCACTATGGCTTCCTCTTTTCTAAGTATCTGAGACTTTATTTTAAATGTTGACCAGGAGAAGAGGGCTGGGACTGCATTGGAGGTTCCCAGTGCTGAAGGAGAGGGTCACCCAGAAGGCTAGGAGAAAACCAGATGAGCCTGATGGTCTGGGAGCCCAGAGCAGAGGCCTTCCGAGCACATTGCGTCCGTCCTCTTCCCACACTGACGAGTGCACATGGTGAGCGCTCCACACACGTTCACTGTTGCTCCTGTTGTGGTTACTGGTGGTGGTAACCAGGAAGGGCCGACACTGCCTGGGACAAGCTGGGAAACTCGGGGAGCATCATCACAGAAGTTTCCCGCAAGAGTCACTTTCCCGGACTCTTGGAGGAAGTATCTGTGGTCCCTTCTGTGTGTTGTTGAATGAAGGGCTGATTTGCAGAGTAAACTCAGAAGAAATAAGGTCAGACAGAGGAAGTAGTCTGTTCAGTGTTTACATTTCCTTCCGAGGACAGGGTGAGGTGGCAGGAAAAGGGAGGATGAGAACACGGAGCCATACCAGTCTGCGTCTTCATGAATTTGTTTTACATAAACAAAAGGGTAGAATACTGTTTTCAAAATTTCCTGTTCTAAAAGAGTGAGGAGAGAGAGAGCTAGTCCTACAAACCAGGTGAAGATGGTTCTGGAGTGCTCCTGGAATAGTCTGTTTTAGCCTTGCAGGGTTGCACTCTGTTAGATATTAATCTGGCCAAGGGATGGGGGAAGACTAATGCAGAAACATTCTAGAAACTTTATTGACAAACCGACCTATCTCATAGCTTAAATCTGTTGAGGACTGTAATTAGCATTTCACTATTAGCCAGAAACCCTTGATAAATGGATGGATCTCTGTAGCTTTGGTGTTTGGTCCTGTGACATTTCGAACTGTTTTTCTTCTGTACCATCTCTTCAGAGCTGGTTAAAGACCTCAGATTTCAGGGGGTGGGGGGTGGGCTGGGATGGGAGTAAAAGACAGAATACTGTAGTTAAAAAATAATTAAATAATTTTTTTTTAAAAAAGCAAAAAAATAAAGTAGAGATAATACCATAAAAAAAAAAAAAGACCTCAGATTTTACTTATGACGTTATTCTCTGTTTCCTGTGCAGGGCCCTGCAGGGGTTTATAGAGACACCTGGTGGCCGGCAACGTGCAGTACCCTGACTTTGTTAGAAAAGAAAGTATTAGAATTGTGGCTAAAATTTGGTTTATTTTGTGGTTGAGAATTTCATTCTTTCTGCCATTTATTTTTGTAGGACTAAAGTTGCCTATTTAAAAATAGATATTGATTCCTTTAGATTATTTTTATAGCCTCCAGCCTTTCTTTCCTGAAGAAACCGTCGCCCAGGTGACCAGCAACATCTGTTGGGCTAAATCCATCCGGGGCTAGGACGAGGGCGAGGCGAGCACAAATTTAAGGATGTGCCAAGTTCTCAGTGATGAATACAAATAGTAGTTAGTGCACTATCTTAAAAGTTAAAATTAACAAAAAAAAGAAGCATGATAAACCAAAACATCAAAACTGTAAATACAGGGTCAGTATTAGTGGTTTTCCCTTTTATCTCAGGTTCCTCTCTGGCTCCGAAAAGCACTGCTGGCCTAGTTCCTGACCTGGCTCATTCATCATCAGTGACTGTGTGTCCATCCCCAGACACACGCCCACCTATGGTTTCCCTTGCGGCTCACTGGGCCCCCTCTCATGTGGATCAGGTGTAAGGAGCCTAGGTCAATGGCAATGATAAGTGCAAAGAGAAACAGAGAATAGAACATTTAAAAGTAACTTGAGGGAAAAATTGGGAATGAAATTTTCCTGTTATTCTCCTTTTCAGGACCCTCCTGCCTTCCTCCCAAACATGCTCACTGTTCCCACAGAGCTGTTGTTTGCTAGGTAGACCCGAGCCCGAGCCCCAGACACTGAGGACAGGTGGGACTGGGAGACGGAGGAGCGCGTTGCCCTGGGAGAGAGGCCCCTCTGGCTTCTTTCCTGTTTTAACAGATCCCTTTACTTCCTGTTTACCAGAACTAGGGCAGGGGGTGGGGGTGGGATAACTGAGGATCTGGCACCCCCGGGGACATGCCACTTGTTGGAGGGAGGGGACATCGGTGAGTCATGTTGGTAGCTGGTATATCCCCAAAGAGCCTGGGGAGGGTATGCGGTTGTCGGCGCGGCGCTGTCTCTGAGTCTCCCCACTCCTTCTCCTGTGATCAGCAACCTGGAAGTTTAACTACTGTTGACAGAAAAGGGTCCCCTCCCGCCTCCTCCCTAAGTCTACAGGGCTTGTCTTTCTCCTAACTCAGGCATTGTCATCAGAGGGATGGTGACGGCAAGCAGCAGGAAAATATTGTGCAATTGTAACCACACAAGCTGCTATGAAAAGAGGAAGTAACAGACTGGGGCGAGGAAGGATCAGAAGCTCAAGAACAAAGGGAAATTTCATCATGGACATGGACCACAGTGTGGTGAGTGTGGGGGCTCGAGGAAGGGGGATGAATGGGAATGGAAAGAAATACAATTAAAAAAAAAGGGAAAATGCCAGAAAAGCTTCAAGAAGCAAGTGGCCTTACAAGGAGGCCAAAAGGATCTCACGGATGGGACTCCTCAGTACCCGGTGAAGAAAGAACCCAGGAATAAGAGGAAGGCGGGAGGGCTTGCCTCTACCATTGTGTAGACGTTCATGGCTTTCAAACGTATTCTCTTAGGGGGGTTCGGAAGGAGAGCAGGTGCCCTCGGACAAAGCACAGACACCAGAGCCTGCAGAGCCCGGATCACTCACCGGGACTCACCCGATACCCTGTATCGCGTAGCAGCTGTTCTCCTGACCCAGAAAACGGCATATCCTTTACCACCTGCTCATGGCTCTTCACGAACTTGGCTCTTCCGTTGGCACCTGATGGGTCTGCCTTTACCAAGGGAGGTTTTGCTGGCTACTGCAGACAGTGTAGTTCAGCAGGGTCACTGTATTCATATTTATTGAGAGCCTGCTCTATGCTAAGTATGTGCTTAGCATTTTTAATTTTCTCTTTAATCCTTACAATATCTTTTTAAGCAAATATAATGAACATTCTTTTTTACAAATGAGAAGACAAAAACTTGAAAAAAGTTAAGCGATTGCTCAAGCTCACATAACTAGTGAGTGGCGGTCTCAGGACTTGAACCTGGACCAGGGGACAACTCCTGTGTCTTTATGCTCTTGCTGTTGCATTTGGTCAACAGAGACATGGGAGTTGCCTCCGCATCCTCCTCCTGTGTCCATGGCAGATGCTGCTAATTGATCTTGGTGCTTGTACCTCTTGAGCTACGACTATGAATAAAAGCACAGGCTACACACAGAGAGGTAGAAACCATGATCCGTGCTCTCAAGAAATTTTGGTCTGACGTAGGAGAAAGTGTTACAGCAGTAGAAGAGCAACCTAAGGCTATGAAAATACCCCAGTCATGAGTGCTAAAAAGATTCTGATAAGCTTGTAAATCATTGGAGATATATCTATCCATCTCCTTTTGTCTGTAAGCTGGCCTTTCCCCCACTTTTTGATTCTTTAGATTTATTTTCCACATTCTAGATATTGCTCATTCATTCCATCAATAAATAATCTTCTCTCTATCTGAGGGCACAGCATGGAGCAAGGCCAAGTTCCCACTCTCATGGAACTTGATGTCTAGTTGGGAGATTAGACAAGAAGCAAGCAAGGGCCCTGGCAGGTGTAGCTCAGGGGATTGAATGCTGGCCTACAAACTGAAGGGCTGCTGGTTTGATTCCCAGTCAGGGCACATCCCTGGGTTGTGGGCCTGGTCCCCAGTTGGGGGCGTGTGAGAGCAACCACACATTGTTTCTCTTCCTCTTTTAAAAGGAGAAAAAAAGAAGCAAGGGCACACACGTGCACATGCATCAGCTGGTCCTAAGTGTGGTGGAAAAGGGAAGCAGGGAAGAAGGACAGAGGGGATGGAGCGTTGCTTTACGTAGGGTTGTCAAGGAAGGGCCTTCTGAAAAGGCGGCATTTGAGCTGAACGGAGAAGAGACCGGGGAAGCCGACAGGATACGGCCAAGGGCACCCCAGGCAGAGGAAACAGGAAGAGCAAAGGCCCTGGGCAGGGTGGTGTATACAGTGTGTCGTTGGAAGAGCCAAGAGGCCAGTGCGGCTGCACAGTGTTAGAGCCGGACAGTCCGTGGCCTCGTAGTTGTGGGTAAGGACTGGGGTTCTTCTCCAAGGGCAGTGAAAAGCCCCTGGAGAGGGCTGAGCAGAGTGGTGACATGGTCAGACTTGGGCAGTAAGACGAGCACCTGGCTCTGGTATGGAGACGAGAATGTGGGGCAAAGTCTGGTGTTAGGAGGCAAGCCCAGCAGTGCTGGCAGGAGCCGGCGATGGCTTGAACCAGGATGACAGTGCTGAGGAGGCGACAGGTGGCTGGATTCCAGGTCTGTCATGAAGCTGGAGCAGCCAGGGTTGTGGGCAGATTGAATGTAGAGTGTCATGGGCCGAACTGTGTCCCCAAATGTCCGTATGTTCAAGTCTTAACCCCTGGTACCTCAGAATGGGATTTTATTTGGAGATACGGACTTAACAGAGGTCATTGAAATAAAGCGAAGAAGTCACTGGGGTGGCTCCTAATCCAGTATGATTGGTGTCCTCATAAGAAGAGGAAATTAGGACACAGATGCACACAGAGTGAGGGCCACGTGAAGACACAGGGAGAAGGGCGGCCGCCTGCAAGTCAAGGACAGAGTCCTTGGAAGAAAGCAACCCTGCCAACACCTGACCTCAGACTTCTAGTCCCTAGAACTTGAGAAAATAAATTTCAGTGGTTTAAGTCATGCAGTGTGTGGCATTTTGCTAGGGCCGCCCTTGAAAACTAATGCCTGGGGTGTGTGTGTGTGGGGGGGGGTCAGAGATGATGCCTGTTTCTTGTCGTGGTTAGAAAAGTTCAGGAGTCGGGCCTCTTCTTTACCCCGCTCGGAGGCACCAGGAGAGGCTGTCCTGTTGGGCTTTGCCACAGAGTGTTTTCTAGAGCACTGAACACCTCTACCATCGCCGAAGACCCCAGGGAAAGAGTGTGACCCAGACTGGTGCAGTTATACAAGGAGGAGCGGCCCACACCGGCGTGAACGCGTTTTGGTGCCGGCACCACACTGAGCCATGTGGCCCACTGCTCCTGGTTTCCAGGAGGTCCCGCAGGGCTGCTGTGAGCTCTCCAGTGCCCACGTGTTTCTGGATCTCCAACGGGAAGGCCCCTTTCATGTGTGAGAGCTCCCTCTCTCTAGGAATCTACTGCGCAGCCCCTCGGAACCTGTGCGGGGACACAATTTGAACTTCACCTGCTGAGCTTCGTCAGTGCCAGCCCAGCCTCATCATGGGTCTGCCCGCTTCAAGCTGGCGATCCTGGCTTTCCTTCCACCGGTGCTCTGCCCTCTTCTGGAACGCTGACCCCCGACTGCAGTTTTCTTGAGCCTGTTGCAGTGGATTTAAGGACTTGCAGACCTGTATCAAGGGTCAGCAGACTATGGCCGGGCACCTGTTTTTGTAAGTGAAATTTTATTGGAGTCCAGCACATTCGTTCATTTACATATTGCCCAGGCCGACTTCCCAGCACCTCAGCTGCAGAGAGTTGCTGCTACAGAGGCTTTATGGCCTGGAAAGTGGAAAATATTCACTATCGGATCCTTCACAGTACAAGCGTGCCAGCCCCTGCGATGGGTTTAGGTAGCTAACTCTCACTGAGTGGGTAAGACGATGGGAAACATGGCTACGAAACCAAGACGGACTTCGGATTGACAATAATATTAACATTGCAATAAAAAGGACAACAAGGAAACACCAGGACTGATAGTCTCCCACCCATGGTAGGAACTGCTTGCCAGGTAAAATGGCTATCCTCTAACTCAGGTCCCCAACCTTTTCGGCACCAGGGACCAGTTAGCTTGCTCTTCCTCTACTAACCTCCTGCTGTGTGGCTGGGTTCCTGACAGGCCATGGACCTGTACCAGTCCTGGCCCGGGGGCTGGGGTCCTTCAAGAAGTTAGGGGGCGGAGAGAGAGAGGAGAGAGACAGTGGATGGAGTTGAAGGAGAGTGAGAAATGGACAGACAGACAGACAGATAGAAGATAGATACAAAGATAGAGTGAGTTGTGGCTACAGGTTACACGGTCATATTTTAAAATGCTGGGGTACATTTTCCCCCTTTAAATATCACTTATCTAGCACTTTTTATGGCCAAGCACTGTTCTTAGGGCTTCACATATATTAACTCATTTAGTTCTCAAAACCACCCTAAGCGGCATATTATAATTTTCCTCATTTTAGAGCTAAAGAAACAGGCACAGAGACGTAGTAATCTGCTCAAAGTCATACAGTGAGTAAGAGGCAGGTGGGCTTGAATCCAAGCAGTTGATTCCAGAGGTTGTGATTTTAAACTCATCACGATACTGCTTTTCTTGATTATGAAAACAAAGGCAGGAAGAAGCTCTGCCTCAGTGGTTAGCCCTTTGGACACGACTTGGCATCCCAGCTACCAGCCGTCATCCCAAACCCTGGCTCATGGTGAAAGAATTGGGAGACCACTCCTTGAAAACACTTTGACTTTTAAATTTCGAGCTTCATGCCCGGGGTGAATCCAGCAAACTTAGAGAGTAGCTGTGAAACAGGTCCTCAGCACAAGGCCTGTTTGCCCATGGAGGCCCATGGGGCGTCGCTGAGATTTCAGTGAGCTGGGAAGCAGAGGTGAGCCGGTGTCACAGTTCTGAGCGGCCAGGACAGCTGTCCTCTGTCGAGAGCTCGGGCTCCTAGCGGAGGCCGAGGGTCTTGGCTGGACTCTCAATGGAGAGTCAGAATCCTTTCCCATCTACCCCCTCTCTGGGCCTGTTTTTCCATCTGTAAAATGAGGGAGCTCAACTGGGTGGTTTCTAAGAGCTCTTCATGTGTTAAAAATAGTCTGACTCTAACCTTGACCAGAGTGGCTCAGTTGGCTGGGCATTGTCCTGCAACACTAAAGAGCATAGGTTCGATTCCTGGTCAGGGCACACGCCTGGGTTGCGAGTTTGGTCTCTGGTTGGGGCATGTGCAAGAGGCAGCTGATTGATAAGTCGTTCACACATCGATGTTTCTCTCCCTCTCTTTCTTCCTCTTTCCCCTTCTCTCTAAAAAATAAGTTGAAAAATCTTTTAAAATATTTTGATTCTAGATTTAATGAAGTGGAGAAAATATTCATACCATTTTAATTTATGGGGGGATTCTTTATAAAACATTATGTTTGACTTTTGCAACTTTTTGTTTAAAAAGCACAGGTAGCAGAATGGAGGTATTTATCTTCTTCACCCCTTGGTCTTCCCCTTCCCCCCTCTGCTACTGGGAGAGGGTCTCTTAGAAAAAGTATTCATTAGGACTCTTTGTCAGGCAGGTGGTCTCTTCCAAGGGACTGGAACAGTGCTGTTGGCCTTCCGGAACAGAGCCACAGTTCTCCAGGGGATGTGACCCCAATGGGCAAAGGGTCTCAGCAGCTTCAAACAAACAGTGTTGAGCAGGGACCCTGAGGGGAGAAGCGAGGGGCAGGCAAAGAGTGTTTAGAAGCATCCTCAGCACTTCTGAGTGCTCACGATCTGTACAGAGCAAGGCAGAGTTCTGCTCAGGGTCTGTCTGTGTCCTTGCAGACCCGAAGGACGGGGCAACACAGTGCCGTGCTGAACGTTTTTAAAGGGTGTCTGCCTGTAAACGCTGTCTCTCTCTGCCTGGTTGGATACTTCTAGGTGACCTTTGTTTTCCTGCATCGTGCTTTTCTATACTTTCTAATATTTCTACACTAGACATGGCACTGCTTATATGATAAAAATTGTGTTTTGAAATAGTAGGATCCTCTGAAATGTGTCTAATACCCTGGTACCATACTCAGCAGGAGATGAGTGCCTGTTGACCCCTTGGCTCCTTGCAAATCTGAAACCGTGGGACCGCTCTGCTCGGGCAGGGACTGCTGCTTCCCAAACGAGGCAGACATTGAAAGGATTATTTTGCTCTGTAGAAGTTCTCTGAATTGTGGGTCTTTTTTTTTCTGGCCAGAGTGTACTCCCTCAGGGGATGGTTCCGCACAACGTGTGGTGAGATGCTGTTCAGAAGGTCTACCCATGAGCTGGCGAAAGGTAGACCTGAGAATCCTGAACTTCCGAACTGAAATAGTTCGGTGCTCTGTGAACCTGGATTAACGTGCCAGTAGATAGGACCTATCCTTAGTTAATGGGTGTGTGGGAAATAGGATGCACTTAGGAGGTTCCAAATTTCTGGATGGCTGAGGTTTATTCAGATTATTATTAGTATTAAATCTTTCCCCATCACTATGTCGTATCCCCCCATACCCTCTTCCACCTCCACCCACTGCTTCCTCACCACAGTCACCACGTGTTGTCCATGTCCATGAGTTCTGTCTATGTTTTTCTTTTTTCTCAATTTTCCCACCGCCAGCACTCCCTCCAACCAAGCTGTCTGAGCCCACATTTTAGAAAAAACCGTCTAAAACTCACCTGCCTGATTTTTGGCCTTATTGGATTCCAAATAGTGAATTCAATGGATTTCTTCTTCCATTGGAGTCTTGCAAACTACAAGACCACTCTGTTGCAGGCCTCTCTCTCCCTCACTGTCCCTTGTTCTCTCTCTCTCTCTCTCCCTTGCTCTCCTTCTCTCTCTGGTTTGAAGCTGAGGAAAAGCTAGTGACCAGGCATCTCTGGACCTCAGTCTCCTCATGTGAAAAGGAGGCGTTTAATTCAATTTCAAAAGTATCTTCAGCCTCTGAGATTCCAGAGCAGACAGTTTGCTGATGGAGACTCAGGCAAGCATGGGTGCTCGGAATTGTGTCATTTGATGGGTGAGTCAGTCTAGGGCATCGGGAAGATAATGCCTTTACAATCAACATGAGGGTACAGGCGATTAAGAAACACATTTAGCTGACAGCTTGAGTGTCTGTTCCATTCGGAGGATATATGCCTTAAAAGGGACAGGGTGACTCATGTGCCAGCGGCAACCTGATGAGCCAGAGCTATCCACTTTCCTTGCTTTGATTCCAGGCAACTCAAAGCGCCTAATTTGGTTTTCTGAGGCAGATTCCCTGGGCATGAGGATGGCAGGCTATGGCAATTGAAAACTGACACTCTTTTGTGGAAGCAGAATTGGATCACATATGAGAAAAAGCTGTAAAATTATATTATGTAGCAGTCAATGCAAAGGGATGTCATCCTTGATAATATCATCATTACTTCTGAGTCATTCTCATGCTGATTTGGTTAGTAGCCTTTGAATCATTTCTTAGAGCCAGTAAGCCCTGGGTAACTTGGTAAATATGGAAATTCTGTATCGGCAAGGCTGATCAGAGGTGAAAATCACCAACATTTACATAGTGCTTTACAATTTTCAAAATGTTTTTGCAAGTGATATCCTAGTAACTCAGAGAGAGGGGGCCCAGTATTTTCCCAGTGTCTGTTCAGGAAGCCTCAGTATTATGGCGGAGCTAGGAAAGGTCTGGGCTGGTCATCCAGCCCAAGTGCAAAACATAGTGCTGCTGTTTCTGAAGGGGGTGTGTTCTCCCATCCAAAATACCTCTCACACATAGACTCACACATGCTACGTGGGATCTGTGCCCAGTGGCACAACTGAAGCAGGGATGAGAAGCAGAAGGCAGAGAAGAAAGCCAAATGCCAATCTGTTCTTGAGATCCCGGAACTGCTTCTCTTCTCCTCTTCAAATGTTGCTCAAAAGCACACAGGGCCTTTCCACATGGCTGCCCCACGGCCGGGTCTATTCAATCTCCTTGAGCCCCAGACTCGGGTTGAATCTGCTTGCTGCAGTGTGGAAAGTATTGTCTTTTAAGATGGAATCTTGAAGATATCAGGTGCCTACCTGTATTTCCCTGGAAGTTTTATCTGGATGCTCCTGCTGAGGATGGCTAGGTACCCTCAACTGTGATGGTCCTTCCAGGGCAGCACGCCCAACCTAACCCACCTGGGACTCTGGGCATCTCAGCCACTGGAGCTGCCAGTCTCAGATTACAGGGGAGGAGAGATACCCGCACTTCAGGCTCTCTGTGCAATGCAAACCTGAACTCTCCCATCCGCTGCTGTGAGACTGCTCCAGAGTGGAACCTTTGTGCCCAGGCCCTTCCCATTCACGGGGGGAAGTCGTACTGCCTCTCTGGGAACTTATAGAGGCTCAGAAAAGAGATGAACTGGTCCCATTCCTGCATCTCCTTTTGTTGGATTTACTTTGCTGCCTTCAGACTGAGAGGTAAGAGACTGGTGGGTGGGTAACCATCTCTGTTCACTTGGGGCCATTTCTTTGGTGGGAGGTAAGGTGGACCAGCAAACAGAACCAGTGATCTAATTGCAAGGAAGTGTTCTATGCTTCCTACTAGCTCACACTGATTCTGATGGGTCAAGCTAGAAAAATAACCCTCATCCACCAAAAGCTTGTCCCCAGCTGATGCCAGGTCACCCCCAGTTCTAGTCCTCAGTCCGTTGTTTTTTGTTTTGAAATATACATGACACTACATGTTGATCCAGGTTGATCCCCTTTCTGAGCAGTTGCAGAAACAGCAGATGGAAAATATGCTCAGAAGTTGTTCAATGACCTTTTTGAAGATTATTCCAGTGCTCTTCGTCCAGTAGAAGATACAGATGAGGTCCTGAATGTCACACTGCAGATCACGCTTTCTCAGATCAAGGACATGGTTAGTACCATAAAGTGGTGACTCTTTGGCATGTTGCTTAGAAAGAAACTAACAGTGTTTTCCAAAGGGATGTTTTAACCAGGAATTGGAGAGAGAATGAGAACAGACAGCTGCGTGTTGAAGCTGGTGGGGGAAGGGGACACCAGGGGGAGGAAGTGTTCTCCAAAATTAATTTGACTAAGTGCTACCTGTCCTGGCCATGAACAGTACCAGTCTGAGATCATCTAAAGAAAGATGGTCTTACATATTATACGATCCCATTGCTGTGAAATGTCCAAGATAGGCAAAACCATAGAGACAGGAAGCAGAGTATTGGTTGCCAGGGACCATGGAATGGTGGGAAAATAGCGAGTGACTGCTTCATGGCCTGAGGAGTTTTTCTGGGTGGGGGGTAGGTGACAAAATGCTCTGGAATTAGATGCTGGCGATGGTGGCAGAACGTTGTGAATATCCTGGAAGCCACAGAATGGTGAAGCTGTAAAGCCACTTCGAAATGGTTAACGTGGTGAGCTTTATGTTCTATGAATTTTATTTCAATTAAAAAAAAGAAAGGTGGTGGTTTAAGATGACATACCTTATTTAATGCTTATCTCTGTTTAATTACACAAAATTATGGAACTTGGAAGACTTTTCTTCTATCCATTGTAAATGATATTTTCTGACTTTCTCACTCAAAATGAATCACCACTTGTTCATGTTTGAAGAAATCTGGGCAGTCGATTCGTGCAAAGTTTGATGGCTTAAATATTTTTTCACTTTACGTTTTGAACATTAAATGAAGCAGGAAAAAATATGATTGACTTGGCAGTCAGTCAAGGGGTTAGACTGAGAAAGTGCTCACTTATTTACTGAAACAGAGCAATGCTCTCAGAATTCCTATATGAAGAACAAGTGGTCTAGAGGTGAAGGGCATTCAGCTGAGGTGTCTACTGCACAAAACTGTATCTGGGTTCATTGTGCAGGACGAAAGAAACCAAATTCTGACTGCCTATTTGTGGATCCGCCAAATCTGGCATGACGCATATCTCACGTGGGATCGAGAGCAGTATGACGGACTGGACTCCATCAGAATCCCCAGCGACCTGGTGTGGCGGCCGGACATTGTCCTGTACAACAAGTAAGCGCAAGTCAGCAGCTTCTCAGGAACAAACTTGTTGATTTAAAAGAATTTAAACAAGATAAAAAAAAAAGAGAGGAATATTTAAAGCATGATTAATTATCAATACCTGTTCCTAGGCCCTGAAATGATGGTCATAAAATCTTAGATGACAAAATAGCAGCTCATAAAACTTAGAGCTACATTCTCCTGTTCAGGTAAGAACTGTATTGGCGGCCGTATTAGTTTCCTAGGGCTGCTGTGACCCCGTCACACACTGAGGAGCTAAAGCAGCAGAAATGTGTTAACTCACAGTTGTGGAGGCTAGAAGTGCATAATCAAGGTGTCAGTCAGCAAGGCTGGTTCCTTTGGAGGGCTGTGCGGCAGAGTCTGTTCCTGTCCACTCCCCTGGCTTCTGGGGGTTGCTGACCGTCTTTGTTGTTTCTTGACATGTGGAAGCATCACCCCAATCTCTGCCTTCATCCTCTCATGGCATTTTCTCTGTCTTGTCTGTGTGCACATGTTCCCTTTTATAAGGACACCAGTTATGTTGGATTAGGTGTCCACGCTACCATACCAATGTGATCTCATTTTAACTAATTACATCTCCAATGACTCTTCTGAATAAATTCATATTCTGAAGTACCGGGGGCTAGGGTTTCAACCTATGAATTTGGGGCAGGGGGCCCCAATTCATCCCATATTAGGGTGTTCCCTTCTCCAAGATCAGGTATTAGTAACAATGATACTACTAAGATTAAATTAGAATGGGCCAGTTAGAAGCTGGCCTATGAATTTTGGACTTTGCATAGGGTGGAGGATGTACTAGATTGCAAAGGCCTTGAGTAAATGGGTAGGTAAGATTTATGTTTCTCAAACTGTAAAGGACACATGAATGACACGAGGAGCTTGTTAAAATACAGATTCTGATTTAGTGGGTCTGGGCTTTTTGCTCTGCATTTGTATAAGCTCCAGGTGTCAGTCCTGCTGGTCCATGGACCACATTGTGAGGAGGAACCAGACTGGTCTGTCACAGTTCAGGCCCAGCTGCTCCACGCACTGTCAAAGGTGCCCTGTCTCTCTCCATTCTGGAGCCCAAGTTGCTGTGGTTGGGAAAGGTTTGTCTTTGGCTCAGAACAAGGTGAATGAAGGGTAGCTGTGGACCTCTCCTAAGAAGGACCTTGGCCTGCTAGTGGGCATGAGTTTCCCTTCAGGAAGCGGTGCTGGTGGGCTACAGGTGGATTTAGTCTCACCCCTTACTCGGAGAGCTCATCCGAGAATCATGACCTCCTGAAACATAGCCCTGGTCCTGCTGACCATTCCCCACTCTGAGTGGCTAGAGGAATCTTCCATATTCCTTTCCAGACAAGATAACATCCAGGTGCTTATGCTTTATCATTCCAGGTCCTCACCTGCCCACTCCCCGCACACATACACAGACAAGGTGAGAAAAAGCCACGTCCTCTGTTACCTCTGCTCATCCACAGGCTGCAGGAGAATAATCAGCAAATACAGTTTACATAGAGCACTTATAGCATTCTGTAAGTTCCAATAGTTCCTACTGGGAAACGAGCCATGCTGGTTCTCCTATCCTTCATGCTTTGAGTGGCTGAAGCAGTGACCGACTCCTACTGAAATGCCCCCAGGCAACCTTGCAGGGTGACCTAAGTTAGGCCCACCCCAGGTCCCCCCTATCCGAGAAACCAGTTATATGCTCGTGGACTCACACAGACCCACTGAGGCTTTGGTAAATTCTGTCCCCATTCTCCTTCCGTTGAGGTGTGTGAGTTCTGTTCCCCGTCCTTTCACACACAAACTTTTCACCACACCAGTTAACCAACACATTTCTGTTCCTCTGGGTTGACTCTTTAACCTTCCACGCCCTCCCACCCTAGGCAGGTCTGCTACATTCTCCTTCTCAGTAACGCCAGAGTTTTACTAGTTAGAGGAAACTCTAAAGGTAGCTATTGTTGGATGTCATTTGTATTTTTTTTCAACCAGTGAAATGAGAATTGAAGAGAGTTATATGATTAGGCAAAAGAGGGACCCCTAATTATAACCATTTCCCTGACCCTGGTTGTTCTAGCTGAATCCCTGGACCTACAGAATCCTCTGATCCCAGATATAATATCACCACCTCCCAGAAGGTGGTACAGAACCTTGTAGACCACAAAGTGGGCTTTCTGAGTGGTGGTGGGGAGAGGAAAGAGGCATATAAGGGAGCGGATACAGTTAAGTGTGATAAAGATAGTTTAGGTAGAAAGATGGCCAACATCTAGATTCCCCGTTGGTGCCTAAATCCCTAATCTCACGGGGTGAGACTTGTTAAGGAGGATCTGGGTGGTGATAGGCCTGGAAGCTGCTGCATATGAGTAGAGTTGGGTTTATTGATGCTTAGTTTGGAAGAGAAGAGTCCTTGAGAAGACTTGATGGCTACCTTAGGCAATCCTAAAGAAAATAAGGCAGAGAAAGGAAAGATAATTGCTCCAGAGGACAAAACCCAAGATGATGAAAAGAAATTAGAGGGAAGATAAGCAATTAAAAAAATAACTAATAACTTGAGCAACAAATTTTCCCAGGAGGCAGTGAACTTGTCAGGAAGATAATGGTTTGAGCAGGCACTGGCTCTGTTACCAAATCAGTAAAGGAATAAGCAATTGGGGGGGGGGGCAAAGTTCTGGTGACATTGTTTAGTATAAGTATATGGCCAACATAATGCTTAGTATAAGTTGCTACAAGAATTCCTGACAGTTTTAGATTCAGGAAAGAGTGGATTACAGTAATTCCAAATGTGCATTTATTATGAGAGTTCTAATTTTTTTTGTTAGAGGAAGGGGAAGGGAAGGAGAAAGAGTGGGAGAGCAACATGAGTGTGTGGTTGCCTCTCACATGTCCCCTACTGGGGACCTGGCCTGCAACCCAGGCATGTGCCCTGACTGGGAATTGAATTGGCGACCCTTTGCTTCACAGGTCCGTGCTCAATCCACTGAGCTACACCAGGCAGGGCTCTAATTGTTGGGTTTTAATGGGTAGTTTTAATACTTTAATACTAGTAAGGAATTGGGTGCCCTATTGCACTCAGAAATATTTTCTAGCATTTAGCTTTGAATTTCAGTTAAGTAGCATGCATAAGTGATTTTCAGCTGGTGTGCTGCAAAAATTTCTAAAACATGCAATATCTCACTATTTAGTCAGGGGCACTGACCTCTTTTGCTTTAGATTGTTTCAAAAAAAGAAAGACAATAGCCAACACAATAATAACTGTCTGGTGTGAATGAATCAAAACCAAAATTATAACTATTTTTTGTCAGATTGACAAAAAATATATACCTTGGGGTGTGACACAGAACTTTTTAATTAGCTTATGTGTGCCACCAGATAAAAAAGGTTGAAAATTGCTGGCCTAGGTGACTTTGAGGATGGAGAAGATTTTAGATGAGATTGCAAATAAAGGAGGAGGAAGAGGAGGAAGTTTGGAAAAAAAGATGAGGAGTTTGGTGTGGGAGTGGTTCAGTTTGGGGACCAAAGAAACATCCACATGGGGATGACTGATGAAGAAATTGCAAAGGCAAGCCTTAAACCTGGGAAGAAGATCAAGGACTGAGATATCAGAAGCTCTTTAACCCTTGGTAGAACTATTCAAGGAAAGAAAGAAAATGGCTGAGGATAAAACTTGGGAAGCTCTTCATTGCAGAACATGCACAGGACACTTGGAAGAAATGGATAAAGGGGAAGAAGGAGAACTGAGAGAGAGTTGTCATAAAAACCAAGGGAGAAAGAATGTCTAGGAACAAGCCAAAGTGTGAAATGCTTGGGAAGGGTTGAACAGAATAGGGACTTAGAAGCCACCTTTTTTTTTTTTTAACAGTTGTGAGTACATGAAACACAGAGTTTATTCTTGTGTTATTTATTAATTATTGTATTGTTTTCCTTATGGACAACTATAAATCTAGTTTTTTCCACCCTGTATATACTGAATCTGGCCTCTTCTTGCCATAGATTTATTGCTACCACCTTGTCTAAGCCACCATCATCTCTCACTTGGTTTTTTGCAGAAACCTCCTAATGCGTTTCTTGGCTTCCCTTCTTGCCCTTTTACAATCTACTCTCAACACAGCTGTCAGAGGGATCCTGTTCCTCCTTGGCTACAAATACTCCCATGTCTTCCTGTTTCACTCTAGAGTAGAAGTCAAAGTGCCACAAAGTCGTGACCAAACCAACCCAGTCTTGCTGACTGATCTCCTACCACCCCTCCTTCATGGCCTTACCAGCCTCCTCCCACATCTTGAGAACATGAAGCACACTTCTGCCTCAAAACATTTGCCCTTGCTCTGCCCTTGGGGTAGGATACTCTTTCCTCAGAGACTGACCCAGCTCCTCCCTCATTTCTTTCTTGCCTCTCCTTCAGGGTTGCCTAATCAGTGAACCTTTCCTTATAAACCTCCTTCCCAGCCCTGAGCCTGCTTTGTGTTTCTCCCTACCACCTATCATTATCTTTTTTAAAAATATATTTTATTGATTATGCCATTACAGTTGTTCTATATCCCCCCTTCATTCCCCTCCACCCTGCACACCCCTCCCCCACTGTTCCCCCTTTAGTTCATGACCACGTGTCTCAAGTTCTTTAGACTCTATATTTCCCATACTATTCTTGCCCTCCCCTCTATCTATTTTCTACCTACCATCTATGCTACTTATTTTCTGCACCTTCTCCCCCCTTCTCCTTCTCCCACTCCCCTGTTACTAACCTTCCATGTGATCTTCATTTCTATGGTTCACTCCTGATCTAGCTGTCCTCTTAATTTGCTTTTGTTTTATGTGTGGTTGTTAATAACTGTGAGTTTGCTGTCCTTTCACTGTTCATCTTTTTTTATCTTCTTTTTCTTAGATAAGTCCCTTTAACATTTCATATAATAAGGGCTTGGTGACGATGAACTCCTTGAATTTGATCTTATCTGAGAAGCACTTTAGATTTGTCTGTTTGTGAGTCGTGAATGACCTTTGAAAGAGAGCCTGCTGGGAGGAGGCCAAGTTGCAAGATGGGGATGTGACAGCGGCAGGTACCCATTACTCTTGAGAGCGTCTGTGGAAAGAGGGTAGAAAGGTGGGAAGTTCCTGGGAGGAGGAGAAGTTGCTGGTAGAGACTGGGGAACAAAGTTAGGAAGAGACTGGAGGAGCCAAAGAGAATAAGAGAGACCAAGAGAAGCAAAATCTTGAAGGAGACTTGGGAGGAAAGGAATCACAGTACCCAGGGGAAGTTAGCCTTGGAAGACAAGGGGGTTTCTTTTTAACGTGGAAGAGGGCAAAAGGGGACATTTGAACAACTGAGACACTGGAGAAAGAAAGGGTTGCATTATGGGCTGGAGTGAATGGACACATCCGTGCTGGGTTCTGGGCAGTCTCTGGTGACAGAGAAACTGGCTGGCCCTCATTGTGCTGTCCTGTACCAGGCCACACCTCCAATTCTGGGTACGGGATTCTTACGGCCCCCTCCAGGAGAGGCCTGTGTGCTCAAGTGCAAGGCCACTAGAATCAGTTTAATCTTCCATCAGCTACAGAGCGGAGGAGAGGCTGCCTGGAGGACACCAAGTGGAAGAGGAAAGGGAGGAAAAGAGGGAAACAATTTAAATATTCTCTTCAAGTCATGTGGTTCTCTTGCCCTCCATTTTGAACTTTTGTCTCTGTAATTTTTTCATATTCCAGTTGAGAACATGGAACCCAGTCAGAAACAGAGGGAAGGGGGAGAGAAGGAAGTTATATATACATCTCTATGGCACTTACTATGTGTCCGGCGGAGTTGGGGTTTTATGGAGTGTGGTGGAAAGATGATAGCCCCCAAAGAGTCCACAGTCGCATCACTGAAGCCTGGGAATATGTTACCTAATGTAGACAAAGGGACTCCGCAGGAGTGATTAATTTAAGGATTTGAGATGAGGACATTTCCCTGGTGGGCCCAAGGTAAACACAAGTCCTTGCAAAAGAGGGACAGGAGAGTCAGGGTAGGAGATGCTTTGAGGGCAGCAGCGGTCAGAGGGATGGGAGGAAGGAACCCTGCTCTGAGGGATGCAGGCAGCCTCCAGGAATTGGAAAAGACCAGGAAGTGACTCTCCGTCAGAGTCGCCGGAAGGAAAGCAGCCTTGTCTCCATCTTGGGTTTAGGATTTCTGACCTTTAGAACTACAAAGGTGTTCAATTTATATTGTTTTAAGACACTAGGTTTGTGGAAACATGTTATGATAGCAGTAAGAAATTAATACATATAGTTATATACTTAATATAAAGTTTAAAAAAGAAACTTAAGGTGTTCCAATCCCTGCTTTTACAGGCCAGTGACGGAAATGTAACTTGCTCAAGTTTATAAAACCTGAACCAGGTTTTGAACCCCAAATCTCTCTGTGATTATTTCTATGATGTCAGGACACTTTCTAAAGGAGAATAAACCTTATTTCCTTAGTCAACCCATTTACTTTCTTACCACCTTTTTTCTGTGCAAGGCATTCTGTAATGCACTGAGGAATAAGTTGGGATTTTAAAACTCAGTCTATGGCCTCAAGGAAGAGTCTAGTAAGAAATGTATGTAAAAACTATAATACAGGGTAAAAATGTAAAGTCCTTATAACATGGAAATAAAGTGCCGTGGCCCTGCAAGATGGAGATTTCATTCTACTGGAGAGAGAGGGAAGGCTTCTCATAGGTGGGTCTTTTTTAAAAAGTACTTTTATTTATTTTTAAATTTTATTTTTCAATTACAGTTGACATTCAATAGCATTTTAGCATTGTTCACATTGAACAATGTGTCAGATTTCTACACGTAGGATATTACAGATAGAAAAAGGAGTTTGAGTAAAAGAGGGAAACTCACAGGATCTGGGGCTGTTTCAGCCTTGGTTGGGGGAACGTGAGTACTGGAGACCTCGGGAGACACTGGGCTGGGCAGTGGGATGGGAGTAGATCATGGAACATCTAGAATAAGACACTGGGCATGAAGTGAATAAATAGGAATGTCTTTAAACTCCTCTTGGGACAGTGGGCTCTGTTCTCCCATGGCTCTGGTGAATGGGGGTCACCAGTGGGCAGTTAAAGGGGGAAAAAGTGAGGACAGGGTCCCCTTGCTCTCTTCCTGGAGAGGTGCCTTGTCTGGCTATCCCTGGACAGAAAGTCTTAACTCCTATTATGGCTTAATCAGCAGTCCATCCGCCTCGCAGTGGTGGTGGACAAAGAGTAATTTCCTAAAGGAAAATAAAAATTCTGTGCCCCCAAATGCCAGGCATAAATGTGGACAAAGAAAGGTTATCCAGAATAAATTATTATCTCTTAAACTATGGGTGAATGAACTTTTTCTGTTTTCCAAATGTTATACAATAGACATGTACAAATCTTTCAATGGCAACAAAAAGCTATTTTAATATTCTTGTGCCCACAGTTAACAAAGTCAGGTACGCAGAGCCTCTCCTTTAGAGTTCGTCTTTGACAGGTTTCCTTTTGGTCCGGCTGCATAAACCATTGTACCTAGGAAGGAACACAGAACAGACACGCTTTAAGGAAGAATTCGGATGATTTGCCCCTTGCTACTTGCAAGAGACAGAGAAGAGAAACTTAGAGTTGATTTCAGATTTTCAAGACAAAGTGATAGGGAGAGCGGTGGCCCATTGCCAAAGACATTAAGAGGACGGGCACAGGCTGGGGAGCTGTCTGGAGTGGGAAGCTGGCGAGTTCCTCCAGCAAGCTGCTCTCCTTTTCCTTCTCTCACCTCCAGGGCTGACGATGAGTCTTCCGAGCCTGTGAATACCAATGTGGTCCTGCGATACGATGGGCTGATCACCTGGGATGCACCAGCCATCACCAAAAGCTCCTGTGTGGTGGATGTTACCTACTTCCCCTTCGATAACCAGCAGTGCAACCTGACCTTTGGCTCCTGGACCTACAATGGCAATCAGGTGGACATCTTCAACGCCCTGGACAGCGGAGACCTCTCCGACTTCATCGAAGATGTGGAGTGGGAGGTCCATGGCATGCCTGCGGTGAAGAATGTGATCTCCTATGGCTGCTGCTCAGAGCCGTACCCCGACGTGACATTCACCCTCCTTCTGAAGAGGAGGTCCTCCTTCTACATTGTCAACCTTCTCATCCCATGCGTCCTCATATCTTTTCTGGCTCCCTTGAGTTTTTATCTCCCGGCAGCCTCTGGGGAAAAGGTCTCCCTGGGCGTGACCATCCTTTTAGCCATGACTGTTTTTCAGCTCATGGTGGCAGAGATCATGCCGGCCTCAGAAAATGTCCCTCTCATAGGTGAGTTCGAGTGTCTTATACTTTGAGCCTAACTTTGTAGTGGCTGGGGTTATATCTGTGCCTTTAAAACTTAGAACAATTAGGCCAGCTTCACAGTCCACACAGCTGTCTCATACTTTGTCTAGGGTCTTGGTTGGGATCTCTGAATGCAGAGGTGGCTGTTGGAAACTAAACTGGTCTTGTGGTCTCCAGAGTGACCCAAAGGAAGAGTGAGGGGCGATATAGCTTAGAGCAGTGGTTCTCCAAGGGGGGTCCCCAGACCCACAACATCGGTGTCGGTTTAGAGATACAAGTCTAGGGTGGTCTTGGGGCCCACCCTAGACTTAGTGAATTAGAAACTTTGGGAGTGAGGGCTAGCATCTGTTTTAAGGAGCCTTCTGGGTGATTTTGATGTACTTTGTTCAAATCTAAAAACCACTGGCTTACAGTTAAGGGCCTTGATTTTGAGGTCAAAGAAGTCTGCATTTGAACTCTGACTTCCCTCATTCCTTGGTCAATCTTAGACAAGTTACCTGATCTTTGAGTCTCTGCCACATCATGTCACTGCTACCTCATGTGCCATTACTCAGTGCAGAACTTGGCACATGATAAGTATTGAGAAAACAGTGGCTGTTTTTACCTTTTCGCATAACAAGGGGTCTCTTCTTGGGAAGAGTGGCAAACATGACAGAAATGATAAACTAGACTTTTAAGCCTACCATCTATTTTTAATGAAATAATTCTCAACCTCTATTGGGTCTAATAGGTATGGGAGGGCTTGTTAGAGTGCAGGTTCCTATAGTGAAAGAGTTAAATTTAGCAACCTCGGGCAACATTTGAGAATTTGAGGTGATTCTAAAGTAGATCATGTTTTTATCAATCATAATAATGAAATGTCCCTCTAAGGGTAGAGGATACATTGAGACTGCTAGTTCTGCCTCCTGTTTTGTCTTTAAGATTTTATATATTTATTTTTTCCCTTTTTCATTGATGTTCAAATACAGTTGCCTCCATTTTCCTACCATAACTTCCCCCACCCTATTCATGCCCACATCCCACCCTCAGTCCCATCCCCCCTTGGCTCTGTCCATGGGTCCCTCATTTATGTTCATTTACAACCCTTTCCCTTCTTTTCCACATTATTTCCCTCTCCCCTCCCCTCTGGTTAGTTGTTGATTGTCAGTTTGTTGTTGGTTTCAATGCTTTCTGGCTATATTTTGCTTGCCAGTTTGTTTTGTTAATTAGGTTCCATTTATTGGTGAGATCATATGGTATTTGTCTTTCACTGCCTGGCTTACTTCACTTAGCATACTCCCCACTTCCATCCATGTTGTTGTGAGGGTAGGAGCTCCTTCTTTATTTCTGCTGTGTGGTATGGTACATTGTGTAAATGTACCATAGTTTATTGACCCACTCATTTACTGATGGGCCCCTAGGCTCCTTCTGGCTCTTGGCTACTGTAAAGTGTGCTGCTATGAATATTGGGGTGCATAGGTTCTTTTGAATTACTATTTCAGGATTCTTAGGGTATAAACCCAGCAGTGAATTGCTGGGTCAAAAGGCAGTTTCAATTTTAATTTCTTGAGGAAATTCCATACTGTTTTCCACAGTGGCCACACCAGTCTGCATTCCCACCAGCAATGTACTAGGGTTCTTCCTTTTTCTCCACAACTCCACCAGCACTGGTTGTTTATTGCTTTGTTAATGATGGCCATTCTGACTGGTGTGAAGTGGTATCTTATCTTTGCATCTCTCTGATGGCTAGTGATGCTGAGCATCTTTTCATATGTCCCTGGGCCCTCTGTATGTCCTCCTTGAAGAATTGTCTATTCAGGTCCTTTGCCCATTTTTTAAATTGGATTGTTTGTCTTCCTGGTGTAGAGTCCTGTGAGTTCTTATATTTTGGAGATCAAACCCTTGTCTGAGATATCACTGGCAAATATGTTTTCCCATACAGTTGGTTCTCTTTTCATTTTGATAATATTTTCTCTAGCCATGCAGAAGCTTTTTTATTTTGATGAAGTCCCGTTTGTTTATTTTTTCCTTTATGTCTCTTGCTCTAGGGGACATATCAGTGAAAATATTGCTACATGGAATATCTGAGACTTTCCTGCCTCTCTTCTCCTCTAGGACTTTTATGATATCATGACTTATGTTTATGTCTTTTATCCATCTTGAGTTTGTTTTTGTGTATGGTATAAGTTGGTGGTCAAATTTCTTTCCTTCCTTCCTTCCTTCCTTCCTTCCTTCCTTCCTTCCTTCCTTCCTTCCTTCCTTCCTTCCTTCCTTCCTTCCTTCCTTCCTTCCTTCCTTCCTTCCTTTCTTTCTTTCTTTCTTTCTTTCTTTCTTTCTTTCTTTCTTTCTTTCTTTCTTTCTTTCTTTCTTTCTTTCTTTCTTTCTTTCTTTCTTTCTTTCTTTCTTTCTTTCTTTCTTTCTTTCTTTCTTTCTTTCTTTCTTTCTTTCTTTCTTTCTTTCTTCCTTCCTTTCTTTCTTTCTTTCTTTCTTTCTTTCTTTCTTTCTTCCTTTCTTTCTTTCTTTCTTCCTTTCTTTCTTTCTTTCTTTCTTTCTTTCTTTCTTTCTTTCTTTCTTTCTTTCTTTCTTTCTTTCTTTCTTTCTTTCTTTCTTTCTTTCTTTCTTTCTTTCTTCTTTCTTTCTTTCTTTCTTCTTGTTTTTGCATGTAGCTGTCCAGATCTCTCAACACCATTTTTTCTTATTTTATTTAATTTTTTAAATATATTTTATTTGTTATGCTATTACACTTGTCCCATTTCCCCCCTTCACTCTTCTCCACCCTGCACATCCTCTCCCACCCACATTCCCCCCTTTTAGTTCATGTCCATGGGTTATAAGTTCTTTAGCTTCAACATTTCCCATACTATTCTTGCCCTCCCCCTGTTTATTTTCTATCTACCATCTATGCTACTTATTCTCTGTACCTTTTCCCCCTCTCTCCTCCTCCCACTCTCCTGTTGCTAACCCTCCATGCGATCTCCATTTCTGTGATTCTGTTCTTGTTCTAGTTATTTGCTTAGTTTGCTTTTTTGTGCATGTGTTTTTGTTTTTGAAGGTAAAGGATCTTTTTTTTTTTTAAGATTTTATTTATTTATCTTTAGAGGGGAAGGGAAGGAGAGAGGGAGAGAAACATCAATGTATGGTTGTCTTTTGTGCATCCCCTGCTGGAAACTGGCCTGCAGGGAACTGGCCTGCAACCCCAGCATGTGCCCTGACTGGGAATCGAACCATGATTGTCTGGTTCGCAGGCCCGAGCTCAGTCCACTGAGCTACACCAGCCAGCTGCTTTTGTTTTTTTTTAGGCAAGGTTTTTAATAATTGTGAGTGCTGTCATTTTACTGTACATTTTTTTATCTTCTTTTTCTTAGATAAGTCCCTTTAACATTTCATATAATAAGGGCTTGGTGACAATGAACTCCTTGAACTTGACCTTATCTGAGAAGCACTTTATCTGTCCTTCCATTCTAAATGAAAGCTTTGCTGGATAGAGCAATCTTGGATGTAGGTCTTTGAATTTCATGACTTGGAATACTTCTTTGCAGCCCCTTCTTACCTGTAAGGTCTCTTTTGAGAAATCTGCTGACAGTCTGATGGGAACTGCTTTGTAGGTGACTGTCCCCTTATCTCTTGCTGCTTCTAGGATTCTCTCCTTCATTTTAATCTTGGCTAATGTAATAATGATGTGCCTTGGTGTGTTCCTCCTTGGGTCCAATTTCTTTGGGACTCTGAGCTTACTGGACTTCCTGGAAGTCCATTTCCTTTGCCATATTGGGGAAGTTCTCCTTTATTATTTGTTCAAATAAGTTTTCCACTTACTGCTATTCCTCTTCCCCTCTGGTACCCCTATAATTCGGATGTTGGAACATTTAAAGATGTCCTGGAGGTTCCTAAGCCTCTCATTTTTTCTGAATTCTTGTTTCTTCATTCTTTTCTGTTTGGTTGTTTCTTTCTTCCTTCTGGTCCAATCCATTGATTTGAGTCCCAGTTTTGTTTCCATCACTATTGGTTCCCTGTGCAATTTGCTTCATTTCACTTAGTGTAACCTTCATTTTTTCATCTAATTTGTGACTAAAATCAAGCAGTTCTGTGAGCATCCTGATCACCAGTGCTTTGAACTGTGTATCTGATAGTTTGGCTATCTCTTCATCACTTAGTTCTTTTTTTTTTTTTTTTTTTGAAGCTTTGATCTGTTCTTTCATTTGAGCCTCTTTTTTTTTGTCTTGCTGTGCCTGTTACGTAGTGAGGGGCAGAGCCTTAGGTGTTCACCTGGGCAGGGCAACCTCGTTGCTGGGTTGGGACGCTATATATGGGTGGGGGAGGTCAGAGAGGGAACAATGGTGCTTGTTCTGCGCTCTCTGCTGGATTTCAGTCACTTCTGCCGCTTCCCCCCAGCAAATTGGCCCCTTCTGGTGCTGGTTCCTGGGTGGGTGGGCTTGTATACATTCTAGGATCTTTTGGGTCTCCCCAACAAACTCTCCTGTGAGGCTGGGAGTCTCTCCCGGCACCTCAACCCCCACAGGTGTTTTCAATCAGTGCTTTTAGGCTCTATTTACCAGCACTGGGGCCCTGAGTTGCTCAATCTGTCTCGCTGCCCATTTTTGTCTTGTTTATCTGCATGCAAATGTGTGACCGCAGTTAGCCAGCCACCTTGCACACTGCACCCCTCCACAATCTGCTGCCTCATTGAATCCACCTGATGCCAGCCCAAGCGCTGAGGGTTCGCCAGCCATCGCTTTTTTTTGCCAAGACCCTTCTCTGCCCAGCCACCTGACTCTGCCCTTCCTATGGATCTGGATGAATATTTCTTCTCCAACTTCTTGGTTGTCGGACCTCCATACAGTTCAATTTTCTGTCAGTACTGGTTTGTTTGTTTTTTTGTTTCTAAATTTTTGTTGTCCTTATTTTGGTTGCACGAGGAGGCACAGTGTATCTACCTATGCCTCCATCTTGACTGGAAGTCTCATACATGTCTCAACACCATTTGTTGAAGAGGCTATTTTTATTCTGTTTTATGTTTCTGTCCCCTTCATCGAATATTAATTAACCATAGAGACTTGGGTTTATTTCTGGGTTCTCTAATCTGTTCTCTCAATCTATGTGTCTGTTCTTATGCCAGTACCAGACTGTTTTGATTACTGTGGCCTTGTAATATAGTTTGATATCAAGTATGGTGATCCCACCTACTTTGTTCTTCTTTCTCAAAAATTTTATAGCCATTCAGGGTAATTTATAGTTCCATATAAATTTTTGAAGTGTTTGTTCTATATCTGTAAAATATGTCATTGGTATTTTAATAGGGATTGCATTGAATCTATAAATTGCTTTGGGTAGTACTGACATTTTGATGATGTTAATTCTTCCAATTCATGAACATGGTATATGCTTCTATTTATCTGTGTCTTCCTCAATTTCTTTCTTCAGTGTTGTGTAGTTTTATGAGTACAGGTCTTTTACCTCCTTAGTTAGGTTTATTCTGAGGTATTTTATTTTTCTTGTTGCTAGAGCAAATGGGATTTTTTCCCTGGTTTCTATTTCTGATATTTCATTGTTGGTGTGCAGAAATGCCTTTGATTTCTGAATATTGACTTTGTATCCCACTGTTTTGTCAAATTCACTTATTAGACCTAGTAGTTTTTTTGGTGGAGTTTATAGGGTTTTCTATGTATACTATCATGTCATCTGCAAACAATGACAGTTTTACTTCCTCCTTGCCAATTTGGATTCCTTTTATTTCTTCTTCTTGTCTGATTTGATTACTGTGGCTAGGACTTCCAATACTATGTTGAATAAGAGTGGTAGAAGCAGACATCCTTGTCTTGTTCCTGATCTTAGTGGGGAAGCTTTTAGTTTTGCCCATTATGATGGTGGCTGTAGGTCTCTGATATATGGCCTTTATTATGTTGAGGAATGCTCCCTCCATTCCCACTTTGCTGAGTGTTTTTATCATAAATGGGTGTTGTACCTTATCAAAGGCTTTTTTCACATCTATTGATATGAACATATGATTTTTGTCTTTCCTTTTGTTTATATGATGTATTACATTTGTTGATTCATGAATATTTTACCATTCTTGCATTCCTGAAATGAATTCCACTTGATCATGGTGTATGATTTTTTTAATGTATTGCTGGATGCAGTTTGCCAACATTTTGTTGAGGATTTTAGCATCTGTGTCAAAATGGAGGAAATGGAGATGACTGTACTTGAACATCAATAAATGTTTTTTTAAAGATGCTTACCCAAATCAAGAGCTAGACATACTTTTTAGTTCCTTAAAGTAGGTAATGAGGAGACATTTCAGAACAAGAGGTGTAGGGACCAATATCAAAGGGATATTGCATTTCCCCTTTACCCTCTACTGAATTCCTTAATATCCAATATTTAGATGTTATTACACTGGTTTCTTTGTTTGGAAGTTTGTTTCTATGTTTCTCCAACCAAGACACAGACATGCAGGCACACGTGTGGACACACACACATACACACACACACTTTTAAAGAAATAGACACAGAAACACTACCCCCTACTCTACCAGTAATAAAGAAGAAGAGGTGTAATGACATTTTTATTACCTCTTCTGAGAGGCAGAAATGATGGACAGTGATGACATCCAATCATAACCATATTTGAAGCAACATTAATCGGTAGGTCCCTCCCTATCCTCCAGCAGTGACATTCAACAGCAAGCTGGCTGTTTCTAAAGACAGATGTCTCAGGACTTGTCTGAGGAATTCTGCAAGCATTACTTCTTCTATTTCTGTGATAATATAAAAATGCATATTCTTTAGGAAAGGTGCACACAGATCTTGAGAATATATATTTAACAACCACAATTTATTTGTTACACCAAAGAAATGTACTTCCAGTCTTATAGAAATGTGTCAAGTTTTCTTGATGAAATATAGCATTTGATCAGGCATCTGGCCCTTAGCCTTTACCATATTAAGAAAAGTTCCATTTGGTTTTAGTTTACTCAAAGCTTTTAACAAATAATAAATGAATGATGAATATTATTAAATCCATTGTTTTCGTCTGTTAAGATAATCATGTGAGTTTTCTCTCTCATTTCATCAATGTAGTGAATTAGGTTTTCTGATGTTCAACTAAGCCCTCCTTTTTCATGATGACTGATCATGTTAAGACACCAGTGGGTTTAGTTGGCTAAAAATTTTTACAGGGCTTTCTCAAATATGTCTACAAGTGACATAGCTTTACTATTTCTTTTCTTGTTACTTTTGGAATCAAGGCTAAATTGACTTCATAAAATAGCCAGGTGATTATTTCTATTTTTCTTTTTCTGGAACAACTTGAATGAGTTACCTATTTCTTAAGAGTTTGGTAAGACTCACTAACATATCAAACCTTTTGGTCCTGGAGTATTTGAGGGGAGGGTGGATAGAAGTATTTGATTAATTCCATTTCTATTCAAGCATTCCTTCTTCTTACACTAAATTTGACATCTGATATATTTCTAAAAATTTCATCTAGGTTTTTTCAAATGTATCATCATACAGCTATTTATAAGATTATTATATTATTTCCTAAATTTTGATTTAGTTATGTCCTCTTTTGTATCCTCTCTTTCTCTCCCCACTACCACATGCTTCTATTTTGTCAGTGGCCTTAGCAATAGTTTATCAATTTCATTACTTTCATTACTTTTTCATATAGCTTGCTTTTGTTCATCACCTTGGTTTTTTGTTCTGTATTTTTGCCCTTATTTTTATTGCTTCCTTCCTTAATTTTTTTCATGGATATTTGCTTTATGCAATCATCTGTTGAAGACATATACCTATTTAAGACACAGTGATATGGTGTCTCTTCTTTTCCAATAATAATGAACTTTCACTCTAAGGTCTGAATACCATTCTGAGAACCAGTCGAGATTGTTAATTATTTATTTGTTTGTTTGTTGAAAGGGAAAGTTTTTCAATTTATTTGCTGAGGACTTTACCTGTGTCACCTCAGCTGAGCCTCACAGTGTTCCTACTAGTTAGATACTATTGTTATTCTCATTTTACAAAGAAAGAAGCTGAGGCTTAGCAGGATTGTATATATAACTTATTTCAGGCCACAAGGCTAGTGAGTGACAGAGCTGGAACTTGAACCCATGGAGTTTGATTCAAACGTATATACTAGAACCCATTAGTATATATAGCTTCTTTTTAAAAAGTGTTTGTTTTTTGAGCCAAACAGTTGAAGGACAGTTTGAAGGACAGTTTTGAACTGACTTGGCTGCTGGTATTTTCCAGGAAAATACTACATAGCTACGATGGCCTTGATCACAGCCTCCACTGCCTTGACCATCATGGTGATGAATATCCACTTCTGCGGGGCCGAGGCCCGGCCAGTGCCCCCCTGGGCCAGGGTGGTCTTCCTGAAGTACATGTCCAGGATGCTGTTCGTCTACGATGTGGGTGAGAGCTGCCTTAGCCCCTGCCGCGACAGGGAGCGGGACCACCTCACAAAGGTGTATGACAAACTTCCAGAGCCTAATCTGAATGTAGCCAGGAACAAAGGCCTTCCCAGAAAGAAGGAGATGAACAGACTTGTAAAGAATGACTTGGGGTGCCGGGGAGAGACCCCGCAGGATGCCGACAGCTACTGTGCACGGTTCAAAGTGCTGACCAGGAATATCGAATACATCGCCAAGTGCCTCAAAGACCACAAGGCCACCAATTCCAAGGGGAGTGAATGGAAGAAGGTTGCGAAAGTCATAGACCGATTCTTCATGTGGATATTTTTCATTATGGTGTTTGTGATGACTATTTTGATCATAGCAAGGGCAGATTAGCAGGTATTTGGTATGGGGGGATGAATCAGTAGAATTCCCTGTGATCTACTCTAATAATTCTTCCAAGAAATATATATATGATATAAACACAAACTATATATAATATATAGACACAAATATATATAATTAATAATTTAGGTGTTATGTTGTCTTTAATTTTTAACTTTAAATCAAGAAAAAAAGAGAAAACTCATGGGCACAGACAACAATGTGGTGATTGCAGGGGGAGGGGGCTGGGTGGGAGCGGAAGAGGGTATAAGGGGGGACAAATGGCAAGGGGGAAATTGGGATAGCTGTGATAGAATAAAAATAAAAAATTGTTTAATAAAAAATAAATTAGCCCTGGCTGGTGTAGCTCAGTGGATTGAGCGCGGGCCTGCGAACCAGACAATCATGGTTCGATTCCCAGTCAGGGCACATGCTTGGGTTGTAGATCATGTCCCTGCAGGCAAGTTCCCCGCAGGGGATGCATGAAAGGCAACCATACATTGATGTTTCTCTCCCTCTCTCCTTCCCTTCCCCTCTAAAGATAAATAAATAAAAATATTTTTAAAAAATTAATTAAATGGTAATGGAAAAGTACAATAAAAATAATGTATAAAGAGAAAAATCAAATCCATGTTTTAGGTAACTGTCAGGTTAGATTAAGCAGGAGGGCCAAAATTTCATGGGTAGGAATGTGGAGGAACTAGAGGACTCTTTCATGGTCTACCATAGTGTTAAGGGGCTGGCTTCTGGATCACACAATTATTCTCCCCTTTAGCAATGCAAATAATGAGGTAAACTACATTACTGTTTAAAAGTTAAACTCATTTTCCCCTTAGTCCCTATTAAAACATGCTTTTAAGAAAGGAAAATAGTCACATATTCCTTAGTGTGGTTTAAGTCTTAATGTTATCCCTCTCAGGCATGGGGCCTTTCAAGCCATATCTCATACAATGGAATAAAACATTTTGTCCCACATAAAGAAAGTCAAAGGATCAGCAGCTCAATGGGGAAGAACATTTTCTTCATAATGATGATGTCATATATGTTGGTGGTGTTTTTTATACAACCCCTAAAGATGAAGTTGTTCTTGCATTTAGTCTTTGATTTAAACAAGACTGTCAGTGAACTGGGCTCATTCATTCATTCATTTGTTCATTCACCAAACATTTACTGAGTGTCTCCTACATATATCGAAGCTACATGATTCACATTTGCACTGGGTGTCACAGCAAATCTTATGCATGAGGCTGATCACTTTTGATCTTCACAACATTCTGTAAATTAGGCAGGCAGGTCTTTTCTAGCCCTCTTTTACAGAGGAAGAAACTGTCAGAAGAAGGTGGACATAAGTATCCTACTGCTCCACTGTCCCACTGGGTGGTGAACAGAGCTGGGATGCCAACCCTCAGCACCGTGACTTTGAGCCAGGGCCAGGCCTGCTAAAGCCACATTGCTTTTAGCCACGGCAGGTCACGATTTAGGGTAGGGGAAGCGGAGAGATTCTTGGTCTGAATTTTGAATTTCTGTCCTAAATTACTTCCTTTGCTTCTCAACTTTTGATTTCCAGCTCCTCAACGATTCTTTTCCCAGTTAAAAAATAGAAAAAGAAGTATAGAGAAGTCAGGGGTTACCCCAGGAAAAGAGAGGATGTTAGTTGGTTTAAAGATGTAGACATTGTTTTTTTATTCTTGTATTGATTTATTTGCAAAGCATTTATTGTGCACCTACTATAGACTGATGCTATGTCAGCCTTGGAGGGAACAAACATAAAACATGGTTTAACCCTTCAGCTGCTCACATATTGCTCTCAGTTCATTAAAGAAGACAGTCAAGAAAACAGACAAATACAATGTGGTGTTAAAAGTGCTATTACAGAAACATGGACGAAATGCCATGGGAATAATGATGATGAATCTATTTGAGGGAAAGCTTGGAAAAGACTTTGTGGCGTTATATATAACATTTGATCTGGGCTCTGAAAAATGAGTAGCATTTTGTTGGAGAAACAAGTGGGGTAGGCACTAGAAGGCATTAAAGAAAAGAGTGTAAGCAGAGCTTCAAAGGGCAGAGGCTCTTAGTCTATTCATGAAATAGAGTACATGCGGTGGGAGAAAGGTAACTTGGAATCTGACCATTTTTCTTTTTTATTTTAATTACAGAATTACTTTGATCAGTTAAAGTTGTATTTGGCTGCAAATAACAGAAAACCCAGTGGACTGTGTCTTCAACAGATAGAGATTATTCATCTACACAAAAACAAACCCGCAGTTACAAAGTCCAGGGATCTTCCTATTTTTCCCCTCTGTTGTCTTAAGGCATTAAAGTTACAGTGATATGTTACAGCAGCAATAGAAAACTAATATAGGACCCAATGAACAACTCTATGTATGTAACTTTTTCCATGTTTTAGATTATTTATTTGTAACCAGATTGAAATAATTTTATTGAGCCATGCTGAAAAAAAATTGAACTTTGCCTTAAAAACATTGGGGGACCACAAAAGGATTTAAAGCAAGGGTGTGATTGTATTGGATTCGTGTTTCAGAAATGACTGTGGTAGTGGCTACGAGATTGTAGAGAAAAGACAGAGGGATCTGTTGGAATGTTTTTGTTTTTGTTTTCATTTTCACCAATTCAGGGAGGAGATAATGAACTTTGGACCCAAGATGGTAGGAACCAGAAAACGAGTCACAAAGTATTTATATCCTAGAATGGGCAACACTTGGTGACTATTTGGATAAGGGGTAAGAGAGGGAGTGGCATTGAGAATAGTTCTGAGCTTTCTGCCTCGGACAACAGAGGTGAAGAATAAAGGAAGGCCGGGTTTAAGAGGAAAGATTTCTGTTTAGGACATGTTGAGTTGGAAATGCTTATAGGACATCCTGGTGGAGATACCTAGTAAGTAGCTAAAAATTTATTTGGAACTTTGGAGAAACATGAAAACTTAAAAAAAAGATTAACACTCAAGTTAATTGTTAAAGGATTTATTAAGTGATTTCCATGAATAAAACATGGTGCTACAAACCCAGAGAGAGTCTAATGAATGGAAATGCATTCTTTGCCAGAATTCCTGAAGCTTAGAACCATCACCTGTCATTAAAGCGGCGGTTACCTAGTTAAACTGTCATTTCTGCATTCATGCAGCTGCTTTCACAAGTATGCTTAGTTCCCCTCCAGGCCTACGGCCCAGAAGCCCTGTCATTATTCTCTTCTTATCCTTTGTGATAAGGATATTCTCTTTTCATCCTCTGTGTGCATTAAACGGCAAAGCACGAGCTCATTACTCATTAAACAGTTGTGGAGTGGATGAGTGAGTGAAAGGAAGCGCTGTAGGAGGGTCCAGCACAGTGCCCAGGTGTACAGACTTCGACAGGAGGCCTATCCCATTCAACAGATAAATGCAAATACCAGACAGGTTAGAGAGTTCGACGAAAAACAGAGTTTATAGGAAACTATAGGAGGCTTTCTAAATAAAATGCTCCGCCTCCCTAAATTTTAAGGTGTGACTGCTAAGAAAGAGGAGTCCAGGGCCCTTGGAGGAAGAGTAACAAAAGGGTTGGTTTGGATTGGGTAGTTGGCCGGGGGGGGGGGGGGGGGGGGATGTGGTGCTAATGAGAGACCTGAGGGGAAGGAGTTGTCCGGAGAAGAGTTGGGGAACTGCCAGGTTGCAGGCAGTGGAAAGGACAGAGTTTAAGCTTAAGGGCAGAGTGGAGCTTATTATTATTTGAGAAAGAGAAAGGAGGCCTGCAAGACAGCATATTATGATGCGATCGGTGACCCAAAAAGACGAAAGAACAGGGCTGGGTCAGGCAGTGCCTTGCAAAGTTTAAAAAACATCCATGACTCTGTTTAGAACTGGCTGTCTTGGTGCACCAAGGTGTGCCTGGGTTTGCTGAGGTCCTGACCTTTGTTCTTTCTTCTTTGTTAGACTCTGTCTACTTTTCCATCAGCTCATTGCTCACACCAACACTTGCCAGCCCAGCCGTGGGCAAACCTGGCAAACAGACCGTCTTGGTCAAGCCGGAAACACAGGTTTTGGAACTTCTTGAGCAACAGTGGTGAGGCCACTTGCAAGTCCTCAACTCCAGAGGCTCACAAAGAGCTCTCTGCCTATTTCTTCTCTCCTCTCAGATCACAGCTTTAGAGTAGATCCTAGCTGTGAAGACTTTATAAGCCTGTCGATGTGTTCAAGCCTCTCTAACCCTTAAAAAATAAACCCTGTGATAAAGTCTCTGCAGTCTTTGTGTATTTCTGTCTCTTTACTCTCCCAGCCAAGGTTTCTTTTCACATCAGTCAGGGTTTCAGCAAAAGACAGGTGGCGTGTTCAAATTAGGATAATTCAAGAAAGGTGTAATAAAGAACTCTTGCCCTGGCTGGTGTAGCTCAGTGGATTGAGCGTGGGCCTGAGAATCAAAGGATTGCAGTTCAATTCCCAGTCAGGGTACATGCCTGGGTTGCAGGCCAGTTCCCATCAGGGGACACATGAGAGGCAACCATACATTGATATTTCTCTCCCTCTCTCCTTCCCTTCCCCTCTAAAGATAAATAAATAAAATCTTTTTAAAAAGAGAACTCTTTATAAAGGTGTGGGCAGGATGTAAAGAAATGAGAGGGGTGCTAGAAGCCCCAGAACTAGCAGAGCAGAGTTATTACTGCTCTGAGGCCTGCAAGGAGGCAGAAGGGGGCGGTCCCCTGAACCTAGCTGGAGGGAGTTGTGATCTGGGGTTGAGTGAATGCAGCACACTCTGTAAGAAGGGAATTGGGGGACCGTTTATCCCCACCTCACTCTCCGTCTTCCCTCCAGTCTCCAGGGCTCACCACTGGCCAAACTCAGTAGAGTCGCCGGAATCTTTTGATGTTGCCTTGAATTTCTGACAGAGAGAAGGGTGGCGGTGAAGGAGAGAGGGTGGATCTGGAGGGACAAAGAAGAGACATCTGATGCTTTCCTTCACTCTGACTCAACTACATTTAAAACCTAACTTCTTTCACCCCACCCAGCTGAAACTGCTCTAGCCAAATTCACTACGTGGTAGTTGACAAAATCCACTGGATACTTCTGAGGCCTCTCTGTTGCTCAACTGCAACTGACCACTTCCTCCTTCTAGAACCTTATCTCTCTTATCTTCTGTGTTACCACTTTCCGTGTCTTAAAAGGCCCCTTCTCAGAACCCACGGCTGGCTCCAGTTCTCCCTCTTCTGGTGAAGTTTGGTGC